CAATTATCCTGCATCCTGTACCTGAAGATCCAGGATACATGCTGCAATTATACTGCGTGATGCTTGTCGCCTCCTGCCTCACAACATACCTTCGGAAGCGACCGCGTGAATCACAACCCAGAACCAAGGGGCACAAACCCATTAGGGCAGTTATTTCTTCCAGTATGCACATCTCTCTACCGGAAACCACGCAGCCATCTCAAAACCATTTGTTCTCTGGGACGGAGCAATAGAAATTCCAGTAGGGGGAAAAAAGTACCAGGAGGGGAAAGGAACAGAATGTTTTCTTTTCCAAATCAGGAGAACCATTGTTCCAAACCAGGAGAAACAGTTTCTCCTGCCCCCTTTCTCAGCAGATAGTGAGCTTGTGTTGGAGAGGCAGCTGTCAGTGCAGCACGTACACCACACTAAGCCTAACTGGACGTGTGCAAGGCCCTATTTTGTAGCTTGGGCATAACAACATGCCATCTGGTCCACCACTGAAGTGGGAATCATTCATTTGGGCCCTTCAAACCACCACCTTTGGCAAGGCAAAGGAATTTCCCCGCGGGGCTCTGCAAAGGCTCCGGTTGACTTTGAGCTGCCCTCCAAAGCCATGCAAAGCAGGCAACGTGTGGAGTAATAGGAGAGCCAGTTTGGTGTCATGGTTACTCTTTAAAACTGCCCCAATCTCCCCCCACCAACAATGGAATCTTGACCGTGTTGTACTCATAGCACAAGAGATTACAAATTAGAAACACAGTCATCCTGGTTCTGATTTAGTCCAGTTGTGACAGAAAGCTTTGGGCGTTATTCTGGATATCTGCGCACAATTCCAGGAGGGCGGCCGTGCTGCTCTGCGGTAGGACAGCAGCACCATTGAGACCACTGAGATTTTCAGGGCGTGAGCTTCCTTCGCCACAACACCTGGCTCTCTCACGCACACAGCGTTTGTTGGGTCAGTCCCCCTGCAGTCTCCTTCAGCTGAAGCAGGAGCTCAACCTACCCTCTAATGCACAAGAGCGCCAGAAAGGTTCCTCCCCCTCTCCTGCCAAGTGAGCCATTCCTCTAGCTCTTCAGCGTGGACAAGGGAGGCCTAACAAGTGAGAAGAAGAAATTGGATTTATACGCTGCCCTTCACTCGGAGTCTCAGAGTGGCCTACGAACTCCTTTCCCTCCCCCTCCCCACAACAGGCACCCTGTGAGGTAGGTGGGGCTGAGAGAGCTCTGACAGAAACTGCTCTTTTCAAGGACAGCTCTGACAGAACTATGGTTTGCCCAAGGTCATCCAGCAGCTGCAAGTGGAGTGGGGAATCAAAGGACTGGAGAATCAAGTCCACACACTTAATCACTACACCAAACTGGCTCTGAGGAAATGCTCTCCCCTCCACGACATTTCACATGCTTCTCTCTGCACAAGGCAGTCGGCAGGATACCTTTCCCAACTGCGGGCCATGCGGCTCTGCAGCAATTCCTTTCTGCTGTAGACGAGCACCTCTGTTGCTGCCAAGTTCTGAGGATGACGGGTGTGGTTCTAGCAGCGTGGCCTTCACCCCATCCAAGAGGCTCAAGCAGTAATAGAGAGCCAGTTTGGTGTAGTGAGGAGGGTGGACTGCAATCTGGGAGAAACATCTAATCTGGGAGAACCGGGTTTGATTCCCCACTCTTCCACATGCAGCTGCTGGTGTGACCTTGGGTCAGTCACAAGTTCTTTCAGAGCTGTTCTCTCAAAGGCAGATCCTGAGAGAGCTCTTTCAGCCCCACCTACCTTACAGGGTGGCTGCTGTGGGGAAAGGAAGGGAAAGGGATTGTAAATTGCTCTGAGACTCCTTCGGGTAGTGAAGGTGGTAAATCCAATCTCTTCTTCTTCTTAGGTTTAAGTGGCAAGCCCATTTTTAGGAATCCAAGAGCAGCCAGTCAATTCTGAGCCTCCCCTTTCAAGCAGGAAGATAAATAGGGAAAGGACCCAGGGCACAGCTGCACCACCAAAAGGATTTGAACACAAACGGCAAGACGGGAGAAAAGGCTGGAAATAATTGGGTGTTTTTTAAGCTTAGAGACAGGAGGTGTACCCAGGGGGGAGAGGCCATTGACAGTTTGGAAGCCATGAAGAGCAGAAGATGTTGTTCGGGACTTGGATAAAAGAAGCCTTGCTCTTAATGCTGGGGTAGAGGTTTTGGTTAAACAGCAAGACAGCAAACGGGGAACTTTCTTTAAATACATGCAACTCAGACTCGGGACTGGAATGTCTTGCTGCCCGTGGGAATCATGGCAGTGCCCCCCCCCCCAAGACTGGGTTGTTGTGTATGCACTGTACTGCAATCTGTCTTCCCACCGTGCTTTCTTGCCAAATTTAGTCCTGCAAATGGCACAACGGACGTAAAATTAAGCCACATCAATCAAACCCATCCCAGGATATTCAGAGTTCAGACAGAATATTCAGTTGTGAGCCCCCCTCAAAGGAGGGGGGGGGGAACAGAATTGCTTGCTAGCTGACAGCGCTTGCTGGTGGTGTATACAGGTGGGGGACTGCTGGTTTCCCACAAGGCAGCTCTTTGGTTTCTGAAAGCTGGAAGCCGAGAACTTCTGTGCCATCTAGTGAGCCAGGGTGAAAAGAATACAACAAAGACACACAATGACGACGAGGGCTTTCCATCCAAAGAGTCTCAGTGGCTTTTGCTGGGCTGTAGGCATCTCTGCCAGATGTGGAGGGCTTTTATAAATAAATAATCCTGGTTCACAGGCTGCTAAATGTCAGCCGGGAGTGGGAGCGGAGAAAGGAATTTTAATCGCGGTGAGAATCCTGAAATAGGAGCTGGACTGCTGTTTCGACACAGCCTGCAGAGAAAAAGGGGCTTCGATCCAGTTTTCTCCTTGCCCCCTCCCCCCACAAGGCCACACCTGGGGTCCGGGGATGGGATGGATGGCAGCACGAGGGAGGGTGGACCAGCAAGGGTGGGAGGTGGAAGAAATCGCTCCCCCCATCCCAATTCTCACCCAACAGCAGCAGACACTCCTGTCCCCCCCCACATACGACCTGCCCAGTGTTCCCTCTAAGCAGGGTGAGTGTGAGCTAGCTCAGTTTTATAGCCTCCGGCTCACACATTTTTGTCTTAGCTCAGGAAGGAGGGCTCCAGAGCAGACTCATTTATGCAGTAGCCAAGTCGCTGGCTCACAACTTTCATGCCAGCAGCTCACAAAGTTGAGTCTTTGCTCACAAGACTCCACAGCTTGGAGGGAGCACTGGACCCGCCCCCACCAGACATGGCACATCCGGTGGTGCCATTCCCGAAGGCTGGGATCACCCCCCCCCCAACAACACGCACTCTGGAAGCAAGTCCATGTGCCGAACAGCACCAACAGGCCTTTTCCTACTCGGGAGGCAGCCCCACGGAGCCTCCTGGACACCTCAGTGTTCGCTGATTGGTTGCCTGTAGGAATCCAGAGACCGACGAGCCGCATCAGACGCTCTCCCATCAGCTCTTTCTCTCAAAGCGTGAGCTTCCAGCCACCGGAAAGAAGCGGGCGACAGAAGCGGGCAGTCCAAAGACCTTACCGAGTCCCCGCTGAAAGATTTCAGTGACCGCTGCAGTGAGCATTTGCCAAGAGTAAAATCCTTCCCTTCCTCTATTATACCAGAGAGAGTTGAGCCCCCCCTCCTTCTAGCGAAAAGCTACAGGTCAGGGAGGGAGGCAGGAGCCCTGTGGGTAGCCTCTTCCTTGGCTACCAGGGGCATTGACTGAAATCCCAAGGAGAGCCACCCTCCCCCAGCCAGGCCTTCCGTCTTACCCGCACTCGCCCTTTGTTTTGTCTCGCGTGGGGGACGAGGCTGTGCAGGTAAAATGAGCTAGAGAAAGAGCAACGCTCTGGAGGTCTGTCAGCATAGCGTAGCGGGTTCCATTATCAGTTAAAATTCCACTGAAGCCCCGGAGATAAAACGAATTGTAAACTAATTATTATATTCTCCTCGTATGGGAACCTTCCGGTCTTCCAAGCTCGGTCTCATGCTTCCCAGGGAGGAAAACTCATCACGCAAACAGATTAGAACAAATCAGAAGGGGCGAGATCTCAGGATGTCTGCATCAGACGCCGTCTTGGCTAGCACTAGTTTCTGCTTGAAAGCACTTCTGGGCAGACGGGAGGATCAAGATCCACATATTAGTTCAGTGTTCACACATTGATTTGTCCCCCGCAAGTGTTTAGAACAGATTGGATTTATACCCTGCCCTTCACTACCCAAAGGAGTCTCAGAGCGGCTTACAAACTCCTCTCCCCTTCCCGTCCCCTGTGAGGTAGGCGGGGCTGAGAGAGCTCTGACAGAAACTGCTCTTTTTCAAGGACAGCTCTTATCAGAACTATGACTGCCCAAGGTCATCCAGCAGGTGCAAGTGGAGGAGTGGGGAATCAAACCCGGTTCTCCCAAATTAGAGTCCTCACACTTAACCACTGCACCAAACTGGATCTCTTTACTGGAGAAAGCTTCGGTGTGGACCAAAGATGACGTTTCACACCTAGCACAGGCTTCCGAGAAGTGGAAAAGCCACCAATGAGAGACAAACTTGGGGGAAGGTATGTGCATGGGTGCGTGCGGCAGTGGTGGTGGAGGGTGAATGAATAAAATGAATGTATGGCTAAACGAGGAAAAGCTGCTTTCCGTTTCAGCAACAGCTGCCAGAAATGGAGAAAATTTAGCACAGGAGTCCCTTCTGTCAAATAATGTACTTGCAGAGTCTACTGAAGACAAAGAAGACCCCAGCAGGATAATAAGGCAGAGTCAGATGGCAGTAAAGTGGTTTTTTTTTTTTAAAGGCAAAGGTACATACTCTGAGTTGCCTGGCTGAAAAAGCAACTGCTGTTGGCAGGCAGAGCCCATAGGGGCTCACTGCGAAAGGAAAAAGCCCTCTGCAAAATGGAAGCTGCTGAATTACTGCCGAGGGGTTCCCCACCAGATGCCTGTAAAACAGTTAATATGCAACCACGTTCAAAAGGTAAGAGAGCATCCACAAAAAAACCCCCACAGCCCAGTATAAAGTATTTATTTAATACTCAACAATTAACACAAATCCATCCCCCCCGCTTTTTACAGTAAATAAAAATGCATTAATCCCCTCATGCATGATCACTGTTATTAATCTAAGCATTTAATCTTAAATGTGAAAAAATAAAGTGTCACCCCCCCCACCCCATTTCATCTTTTAATCATACTCCCAACATCTGGCGCCATGCACCAAATGAGACAAGATGTAGATTTATATTAAGTGTGTGATTTGCAGTACTTGTCAGTTTGTTCTTTCTGTGTTTTGTTTGCACATAAAGTGTTAAAATGAATCGATAAATCATCTAATAAAAAATAAATATCGAACGAGACAGAACCTGGAGGTCCGCAGCATCCCTTTCATTCTAGGAGCACCCGGTTCCAAATCTTTGCATGCCGTGTTTCTGGTGGAAACACACGAGTTTTGGCTACGCCCATCAAACCGTCACAGAAACTAAAGCTGCCTGCCTAGGGAACGAGAGGCCTTTTAGCTTCCAGACTCCTAAATGGGAGTCCTGCCACACGAACAGACATTCTGCTCCAAGCCCTGGGTATTAAAAGAGAGGTTTTTACTGTGGACAAAGAGATCCTGAGGTGATGGAATCGGCTGGCAGCTCAAGGGCTGGCCAAAATCTTTTGGGGTTTCACGACGTAATCTTTCCACGATGGAAACAAATTTGTTCTTTTGGCCGCCCCGCTTGCCAGGGGCTGGCTCCTGTCTGGCTCACCTCAAAAAGCCTTTCTGGCCCCCTCTCCAGCCGTTCTCATCCTGCCTTCCAAGATGTTCCTCTGCGCCGTCCAAGCACTTCATTTTGAAAAGTGAAACCAAAATGCAGGGCTTTAATAATGTGTGTGTATATAGATCTATATAAAGCCACAGATCCCATGTTCTGCTTTTATTTAGTGTGTTGGCAAAAAAGAGGGCGTACTGAATACTGCTTATGGGAATCATGGGAGGCGGCTAACGTCTCAGTCCGTCACCGGCCAGTCTATCAGAGGTCCACCAATGATCACACCACATCGGGTCTCTCGGCCTCCCTGCAGTCGTTTTTACATAAATAATACAGACTAAAACATGAACATCTCAGCAACCTCTTTTTTTTTTTAAGGGGGGAAAAAAAAACCAGAACGGAGGAGCCCTTGGACCTGTTGAGAAACGATCTTGGGACCTGTCCTCAAAGTGTCTCTTCCGAGCGAGGGAGGGAGCGAGCAAACGCGCCGTCGAGATTCCTGGCCGCTCTGGAAGGTGTCAGTCGAGCTCGATGGGGCTGCTGTCCTCTGGTCCGTCTTCCGCCTCCTCCTCCTCCTCCCCAGCTACCATCAGGCTGTTTAAAAGGTTGCCTGGGATGGGAGTCCAGGGACAAGGGTCAACAGCCAAGCCATTCAATGCAGAGGGGATTCTTTGGCATGTCTCAGGTTTTTATTTTTTGCATGCTGCCCTGAGTGCCACTTTGAGCAGGGTACATTCAAACCTGAGACCAAAAACGCACAGCAACACAGAGACTCTCCCCCCCCCCACTGCCACAAACAAGGTATGCATTTTTTTTGCACAGACACAGACACCAGTGTTTCCTCTAAGCTGAGTTAGTGTGAGCTAGCTCACAGTTTTCTAGCCTCTGGCTCGCCCATTTTTGTCTTCGCTCAGGAAGGATGGCTCCAGAGCAGACTGATTTATGCAGCAATCAAATCGCTCGCTCACAACCTTAATGCCGGTAGCTCACGAAGTAGAATTTTTGCTCCCAAGACCCCACAGCTTAGAGGGAGCACTGACAGACACTGAGGGCATCTGTGCACAGAAGACCTAAACCCAGGGGTCTTTTTGAGCTTGCGTGCACCCTAGGGTTGCCAGGTCTGGGTTGGAAAATACCTGGAGACTTTGGGGGTGGGTCCGGGAGAGGGCGGGGTTTGGGGAGGGGAGGGGCCTCAGCAGGGGGCAGTGCCACAGAGCCCACCCTCCAAAGCAGCCACTTCCTCCAGGGGGAGCTGATCTCTGTCAGCTGGGGATCAGTTGCAAAACGGGGGATCTCCAGGCCCCCCTGGAGGCTGGCAACCCTAGGGCACCCTTGGGATTCTGACACACAGTGGTGAGAACGACGACACAATGGCTGCCGCAGAAGACAGACTCTCACACACGCAGAGGAAACCCAAGGGTTGGGGAGAAGAGGGGTAATTGCAGCCGCTGCCACTGAAATGACATTATTTTAATCTGGCCCAGCCAATCGGATCTCCAGCGGCCAATCAGAAGTCCTATGGAGCAGGGGCCCCACCCACTTTCTAAAAACACTTGGCGGGCACCCTGTGCCACCCCAAACCATTGCCAGCTGCTGCATACTGAATGAATGCAAGTGTGTTTGCTGCGGCTCCTTCCCACCAAGGTCAGAACAGTTAAGACTTCCTGTGAGAACTCACCTAGTAATCCTCCGTAGGATGACGTTTGTTTCGGGGGGACGCCGAAGAAAAGCTGTCCTATTCTGTCTAGGTACTAGAGGGACGGGGGGGAAATAAGAAGGGGTGTTATGACTTCCAATTCATCCACAAGGGGGGGGGGGCACAATCAAACTGATTCCTGGCAACAGAATTAAATGTAGAACTTTGTGCTGAGACACAGCCTCCCTCCCCCAACAGATCATTTCAGAAAAGCAATGCAATAATAAAAGGATGGTGCCGCAGAAGAGTGAACAAACACCGAGGCATTAGGATACCTGCTGAGCCCCATTCTCTGTTATATTGGGGGGTTTAAAGAAGGCAGATGACTGGCATTTCCTCCTCTGGGAAGAAACCACCTCCCCCACCCTTGGAAGAAGCACCACGTGAGAGGATCTGGGGTCTGACATTTCCCAATAAAACCGATACACGTCAGTGGTTGCTTCTAGAGGCTCTGTTACTGGAAACCATTTCGTTCAGCTGTTTTGTAACAACCAGTTTCAGGATAACGCAAGAATGTATGCACTGTGTCCTCTTTTGCAAGAAAACAAACAATGCTCATGACTTGTACCATGAGTCTAAGGGTGTTGGTTCAACTCTCTCCCTGGGTCACAAACTCACAAAACAGCCTCAGACAAACTGTTTAGTCTTTCGGCTTTCCTTTCCCCTCTCCCCATTTGCACTAAGGAGACCAGACCAAGCCATGAAGTACTCTGAACAGTCTTAACAGCTAGAATCGAGTCCTGCAAGCACCTCTGAGGCCAAGAAGGTTTTCGGCAGATGAGTTTTCGAGAGCCAAAGTTGACGGGACCCCACAAAGGGAGCTCTCAAAAGCTCGTACCCTGGAAATGTTGCTTGTCTGCCAGGGCTCTTTTTGTAGCAGGAACTCCTTTGCATATTAGGTGACAACCCCCCCCCCTCCAATGTAGCCAATCCTCCAAGAGCTTACAGAGCTCTTCTTACAGGGGCTACTGTAAGCTCTTGGAGGATTGGATACATTAAGGGTGTGTCGCCTAATATGCAAAGGAGTTCCTGCTACAAAAAGAGCCCTGCCAGTGGTCTCTAAGGTGCTGCTGGACTCTTAATCCAGCGGTTCTTCTGCAAACCACCAGGCTGTTCTCTGAAACTGTCTTCATGAACAATCTAAGCTCTGCTACATAAAAGCCAAGTACTTCCCCCTCTTTTCAATCAGAAAGCATTCCAGACACACAAACACACACACGAGCGTGCACACAAACATGCACAATTCAAAGACTTTTCCTTTGGCGAGACTCTGAAAGGAAGGACTTCTACACTACGCTTTTAAGGGGATTTTGTGGAAATGGACTGATTGCACAGATTGAAAGTAACTTACTTCATTATACATGGGATCCCTCTTCAGCGAAGGCTGATACTGTTCACACAATACTGTAAACACCGTTAGCTTTCCTCTAAAACAGAAGAGAGACACACACACCCTTGCCAATGTAAAAACCAAGGTGAGAAGGCAAAAGGTAATAAACTGAGATCTGGTTACTAAAACGGGCCTTACCCGTCCACTGCCAGCAGCAGAAACCAGATGAAGTTCAGCAAGGGTTGGACAAAAGGGGGTCCCCTCTCTATGGAGGGGTGCTTCTGTGTGTAGGTCGTAAAGACCACTAACGCGCTGGTTTTGTTTTTCAAGCAGAGGAATCTGAAAAGAGGAAATAGACCTTTAACATTGAAATGCTTCTTTTCGAGGTCACTTCCTGGACAAGCTGCTGCTCAACAAGCTCAGCTCCAGGGACTGTAATTTACAAAGCCTCCTCCAGGGCAATCGTGGGAGCTGCCCTCAGAATCTACTGGGAGAAGGGTCACTGCCAGTGTTCCCTCTAAGCTGAGTTAGTGTGAGCTAGCTCACAGTCTTTTAGCCTCCGGCTCACACATTTTTGTCTTAGCTCAGGAAGGATGGCTCCAGAGCAAACTAATTTATGCAGTAGCCAAATCACTTGCTCACAACTTTAATGCCAGTAGCTCAGAAAGTATAATTTTTGCTCACAAGACTCCACAGCTTAGAGGGAACATTGGTCACTGCTACCATTCCCATTTCAAGGATGACAGGACCTTCCCAGGACGATTCGGCACAGCGGAGCTGAGAGTGTGAGCCAGGGACTCCCCGGTCCAAATGACAAGCTCCCAATAGGCAAGTAAAGGTTTCCCTTGCTCGAAAGCCAGTGAAATCCGACTCTAGGGGGTGGTGCTCATATCTGTTTCCAAGCCGAAGAGCCAGCACTGTCCGAAGACTTGTCTATGGTCATGTGGCCGGCATGACTGAACGCTGAGGCGCACGGAACGCTGTTCCCTTCCCACCGAAGCGGAACCTATTTATCTACTTGAAATTTTTTGCTTTCGAACTGCTAGGTTGGCAGGACCTGGGGCTGGAGACGGGAGCTCACTCCATCACACGGCACTCGGGTCTCAAACTGCCGAACTACAAATCTTCCGATGTGCAGCTCAGCGTCTTAACCTCTGAGCCACCGCGGACCCTCCCAATAAGTGGCCTTAAGCAAAACACACGATTCTCTACTGCTCAGCCACGGCTCCCTCTGAAAATATGAAGCTTCCTGTACTAAGTTAGACCTCTGGGTCTATCAAGGTCAGTATTCTCTAATGGGCAGGTCTCTCAGGTGGAGGTGTTCCACGTCACTTAGCAATGTCCAGGATTGAACCTGGGACCTTCTGTGTGCAAAGCAGACACTCTGCTGCGGAGCCACAGTACCACACCAAAGCACTATTCTCTTACTCTTGTACCTGCACTGCGGGGAAATAATACCGGCCTATCTTAAAGAGATGCTTCAGGGATTATCGAAATAATGAACGCGGAAGGCCTTTAAGCTTCCAAATAAATGCCAGGGCTAAGCGCTCTTGGTAGGGTTTTGGACCAAGCTCAGCATCTGCCTACTGAGCTACACTAATCCTGCCTTCCTAAGTCTTGTTTTTAAAAGAGAGAGAGATAAATCTGAAGAACACTCAGAGCATTTGAAGCTTGCGTCATTTTCCTCTTCTCCTTCCCAAGTGATCAGGTGTGTGGGGGGTGGGGATTAACGTTGAAAGTCAAAGGCGGGACACTTACTGTAAGACTGCCTGAGCGACAAACATGTCCGCCTCACTGCGATACCCCCTGGAAGAGGAATATTCCACCAACATATTCGCGCATCCTTCTCCGTCCATGGAGTGCAAGAAGTGATACCGAGATTCACAGTAGTTTTGCTCTAAAAATAAACAGAAACAAAGCAAACAATGACAACAAACACCAGTGGCCAGTGTGTGGCCTGCCCCCCCCCCCCCCCCGCAAGAGTGGTCCAAGGAGTTGCTCTCAAGCTTATGCTGGCCAGGCGTGAACAATTTTACTTTGCAAAAACACTGCACCCTTTGAATCAACTAGGAGAGCACACAGGTTTGTAGGGAATCTGGGAATTACAAGAAATTTCAGCCTTTTCTTTTTAAAAAAGGTTTTTAGCCTTTATGGAGGCACAGAAAGCTTGAAGGTGTTTGGTAACGGTGGGCTAGAGAAGGTGAGGAAGTGTGAAGAATCCATTAGACCCTCTCCCCCTACTCACTCGTCTCTGTCCCTTTGCCCCCACCATGCCACGGCTTGTTATGGAAACATCTAGTTCTGCATCTGGAGAGAGAGCTAAGCAGATCACAGCTGTTTCAGAGGGCAGCCATGCTGGTCTCAAGCAGAAGAGCCGGGTTCAAGTCTCAGAGACCAACGAGGTTTTGGGGGCATGAGCTTCTGAGAGTCAAAGTTCCCTTCGTCAGACACGTCTCGAAATCCTTGACAGAGGGAGCACTGGCTCTCAAGCGCATAAACCCTAAACATTTTGTTGGTCTTTGCAGTGCTACGGAACTTGAATGTGGTTGTACCAGAAGAGATTCTCTCGGATTTGGGAAACTTCAGGGGAAACTCTGAGCTTCCACAGAACACAATTTAAAAGCGGGGGGGGGGGGGTGGAGACGAGATACACAGATACTACAGCTACTCAGAACATATTTTAAACTTCAAAAGGTGTATACCTTCTTGTGGCTAAGAGCCTTGGAAGACAAAACAGTGCTCTGAAGTGTGCCATGGCAAGTTTATTGGACAGGGTTAAAAAGGGAATCAGTTACCTAAAATAAAAGTCCGCTCAGAAATCCTGCCAAATTTCTAATCCGGCGCATTTGTCCTGGATTTAAAATCAAGGAGATGCTGAATTTGCAAGCTAATCCAAGTGACCGTAATCGCTAGAAGCAGGGCCAAGCGCAGGTTAAGAGGTGTGGCGTGTCGGAGCCCCTTTTTAACTCTCTTCTCTGATACGTTTTCCCAAGACTGAGCAGAGTCATAATTAGTTTACAAGATGCAGGGCAGAATCCAAGGAGTTATTTTAGTCACATGCAAGGAACTGCATATGCCCGGTGGGATTATTCGAGTCTTTCTGGTAGCAAGCAGGATTCCCCCACTTCCAACTTCAGAGGACAAATAGCTTTGAGAAGGCGGGAGCGTTCCTTCGCACTTTCAAGCAAGGCAAGCTGACAGTGCGGGAATACTCGATAGAGTTCCAACGGCAAGCTGCCAAAATCTGGGACTGGTCTGACCCGGTGCTCGCGCAGCAGTACCGACTGGGACTGAACACCGACATCCGGAACTCAGTCACGAAAACCTTGGTGGCTTGGATGCAAGAGGCGGAGAGCGCTGAGAGCCAGTTGCACACTATGCAGCTGGACAATGCGGTAGCAGCAGGAAGGGCGCCGGCAACCTCCTACTCCAAGGCAAAGGCCACCCCTCCGAAAGCCTCGGTTCAAGAGCAATGGATGAAACAGGGGCTCTGCCTGAGATGTGGGGAAAGAGGCCACTTCGCTGCCAACTGAGGTGATGGATGCGGAATCGAGCGGGGAGGAGGAGATGGAACCAGCGGGGAAAGGCCAGGTCCTGCTGTAAGTGGCGCTGAGCAGAGGAGGTGTCAAAAGTGGTGAGCAGCTATCCACCCCTCTTTTTCATGACTGTGACTATCATGAACCTCGCTATGGGCATGCACATTAGAGTTCAGGGCCTCATAGACTCAGGGTGCGGGCGGGATTTAATCCACCCCTCTTTGGTGTAGAAACTGGACGCAGCCGTGGTTCAGTTGACAGAGCCTTTAGTTTTCACTCAAATGGATGGTTCTCCGATGAAAGAGCCCTGTAGATTCGAGACTGTACCTTTACGCATGGGGGCTGGGGATCATTGGGAAGAGCTGGCTTTTATTGTGTCCCCGGGGGCTAGATTTCCCTTGGTGTTGGGAAACCCGTGGCTCCAGGGGCACAATCCCTATATTTTGTGAGGCGACAGGATTGTTAAATTAATCTCTCCTAAGTGCCAGCGTCACGTATGGAACCCAAAGTGGGGGGTGGCCCCTGACAACGAACAAGCTCGGGTGTGCTTGGTTGCGGAAGAGCTCACTAACATCCCACGGGAGTATAGAGACCTATCCCGGGTGTTTGCCGAAGAAGAAGCCGACGAGCTCCCCCCCCCCTCCCCCCTCACTGCAACTCTGATTGAGTTATTGCCGGGGCATAAAATGCCCAAAGGGAAGCTCTATGCCATGAGCCCCTGGGAGAAAGTAGAGTTGCGGAAATTTATAGATAAAAACCTGGCCAGAGGATTCATCCGACCGGCTTCTTCCCCGTTTGCAGCCCCAGTCCTCTTTCGGAAAAAGAAAGATGGGGGTTTGCGGCTTTGCACCGGCTACCCGGGATTGAACGCCGTCTTGTCCACGAATGCCCTACCCCATGCCGTTGATCAAATATCTCTTGGCTGAAGTGGCTAAGGGAAAAATCTTTTGTAAACTTGACTTGCGAGACGCTTATTTTCGTGTGCACATACAGGAGGGGGATGAATACAAGACAGCTTTCAACACCCCATTGGGCCAGTTTGAATACCTGGTGATGCCATTTGGACTCCAGGGGGCTCCGAGGGTTTTTATGAACCTAATAAATGAAGTGTTGCACAAGCACCTGTTTAAGGGGGTGCTAGTCTACTTAGGCGACATTGTAGTGTATTCCCCCGATAAAACCTCCCATGTGAAGTTGGTGCGGGAGGTGCTCCAGACGTTGCACAAGCACACACTGTTTGCCAAACTATCAAAATGCAAGTTCCATCAGACTGAAATAGACTTTCTGGGCTATCACATCTCCCCCTGGGGTATAGAAATGGACCCGGGCAAAGTGAAAGACGTTCTGGGGTGGGAGGCTCCTAAAACTCGCAGGCAGCTCCAGAGCTTCCTCAGTTTTGTAAATTTCCATAGAAATTTCCTGCCGAACTTTGCTCAACTGAGTTTGCCCCTTACTGACTTATTGAAAACCAAAGGGAAGGGACCAGAGGCTACTAAACCTGGTGCTAAACTGGCCTGGACCCCTGAATGCCAAGATGCATTCAATAAATTGAAAGCTCTGTTCACCACAGAACCCGTGTTAGCACATCCAGATGAAACAAAAAAAATTGTGGTCCAAACTGACGCTTCAGATGTGGCTGTGGGAGGTGCGATCCTGCAAGAAGGGGCGGACAGCAAACTCAGCCCCCTTGGCATACGTGTCTCGCAAATTCACTGACACTGAATGCAACTGGTCGGTATGGGAAAAGGAGGCTGGGGCCATCCGGTTAGCGCTCTCTACATAGAGACATTGGTGCCATTTGAGGTTTGGACAGATCATAAAATCTTGAAGTGCTCTGAACCTCTCGAAACTTGAACGCAAAGCAGCTTCGGTGGGCTGACTTCTTCTCTAAGTTTCAGTTCACCCTACACCATTTTCCAGGCAAATTGAACTTCCTAGCGGATGCCTTGTCCCGCCTCCCGCAGCACGAAAGCCGACGAGAGGAAGTCCTCGGCTCCATTTTCATGGCATCACAATTAGGCGGACCTGTGACGACACAAGGGCAAGCTAAACGCGCCCTCCCCCTGTCCCCCTCTCCCGGGGGATGGGAGGCCAAGTTTGCCACTGCCTTTTCGGCATCTGACAGGGAGGAGGTAAGGGTGGCAGGGGACTTGGTGCAAAGAGGAAACAGCTGCTGGTACAAAGAGGATAGACTATTTGTTCCGGGACTTTTGCGGGGGGAGATACTGGGCCTGTTACATGGATCTAAGCTGGCTGGCCACATGGGTTTCGTGAAATCCCTGCATCTCCTGCAGTACCAGTTTTGGTGGCCACACATGCACAAGGATTTATCTCTGTATGTACACTCTTGCCAAACTTGCATCATGTGTAAACCCCGAAAAGGGAAACCCACTGGCTTGTTGAAACCATTACCGACCCCTAGTAGACCATGGGAGGTGATTTCCATGGATTTCATCACGGACTTACCACCTAGCAAATCCATGACAGTAATTTGGGTAGTTGTGGACCTGTTTTCTAAACAAGCACATTTCATTCCGTTCCCCAGCTTGCCGACAGCGCAAGCGCTGGCTAAAGCATTCCTCAAACATGTCTTCAGACTCCACACGTTGCCAACCAAGATAATTACAGATCGGGGCTCCCAATTTATTTCGAAGTTTTGGGGGGAGCTCATGGAACTTATGGGGGTGGAGCGGGGTTTAAGCAGTGGTTACCACCAGTGTTCCCTCTAAGCTGAGTTAGTATGAGCTAGCTCACAGTTTTTTAGCCTCCAGCTCACACATTTTTGTCTTAGCTCAGGAAGGGTGGCTCCAGAGCAAACTAATTTGTGCAGTCGCCAAATCGTTCGCTCACAACTTTAATGCCAGTAGCTCACAAAGTAGAATTTTTGCTCACAAGACTCCACAGCTTAGAGGGAACATTGGTTACCACCCAGAAACCGATGGCCAATCAGTGTGACTCAAACCCTAGAACAATACTTGAGGTGTTTCACCAACTATCAACAAGACAATTGGATAGAATTGCTGACCTTGGCTGAATTCTGTAATAATAATGCATACCACTCAATCCACAGGGGTGTCACCATTCAAAGCAGCCCTGGGCTATGACAGCCCCCCAATTCCCTTTCTCACCACGGAACCAGGGAAAGGGGGTGAGGCATCCGAGTGGTGTAAAACTCTATGGGACTCGTGGCCAGGGATTTATGAAACTTTGGATATGGTCAAGGCAGCTTACAAGCACCAGGCTGACAAGAAATGGGTGGAGGGTTGGGCTCTGCAGCCTGGGGACTCTGTATATGTGTCCACAAAGAACCTGCGGCTTTCTCAATCATGTCGCAAATTAGCATGGAAATACATTGGTCCTTTTAAAGTTGTAAGGTTAATCAATGTAGTGACAATAGAGTTGGACTTGCCTAAAAATCTGAAGCATATCCATCCAATTTTCCATTTCAGCCTGCTGAAAGCCAGTCCAGGAACTAATTGATGGCACCCGGAACCCACAGTGCCCCCCCCCCGGTTGGTGGAGGGCGAGGAACATTATGAAATTTTGGACTCTAAAATAAAACGTGGGCGATTGTATTACCTGGTAGAATGGGTGCATTGGGGTCCTCAGCACCGAGAATGGGTGGAAGTAAACGATATTTGGGCCCCTGACCTTTTGTGGAAATTCCACAACCGTCTCCGGCCATTCCAGGAGGGAGTTGATTTGATTTAGAGGGGGCAGAATGTCAGCTAGCTGCCATGCTTTCATTGTTTTCGTCTGTTGCGCATGAGCGCATGTTTGTTTGCTTGCTTGGCTTAACTGCTGTAAACAACTATCGGGAGGCACTCATGAGACCATGCGAACTGGCCGAGCCAGACTGTGATCTGCATAACCTTGTGGAGGAGGGAGGGCTTGCATTCCACTGTCGGTGTGAATATTTCTGCTCTCATGGGGCACGGGGAGTCTCCCGATCACGACGTAATATCCCACCGGGAGATTTCCCGTGCGCGCACTTGGATTTCATTTGCTTAGCCTACTGCAGCATCATGGTATATTATTGATGCCTTAGCCTTCACAGTTATTCCTAACAATGTACCTGTATAAACTGGCAACGGACCTGTAGTCTAATAAAGCATAACGATTCCTTGGAACGTGTGTGATTTGCATGCTGTTGATCCTGACATAAATAAACTTCCATATTTCGCTTGACCTACCTTTCCACAACGTGATGGCGAGTAACTGGTGCAATTTCGGGTGCCCGAGTTTCCCTGACCCTCCACTGGACCACTTCAGGGCCCTGGACACAAACGCGACTCTTTCGGGTGAATTTGGGTCCATCAGGCTGAACACCTTAGCCAGGTTTTCTAAGAAGGAAAGCAGAACATGACGACACTTTATTGTGACTTTTCTATGGCGGCTGCATCCCAAAAGAGAAACGAGCAGGCAGCAGAGCTCTGAAGGCAGAACTGAACCCCCCCACACCCCGTGACAATGAGCTGCTCGAGGCGGGGGGGGGGGGAGGAATCATCCAGGACCATCTAGCTGACCTCTCCTGCAGCCACAGCCTTTCAAAGAAACGTCAGCATGTCGGGGTGGGGAGAGGATTCCTCTGTGTTGGTGGAAAGTGCCGTCAAGTCACAGCCGACTTACGACAGCCCAGTGAGGTATTCAAGTCAAGGGACACACAGAGGTGGCTGGCCATTGCCTGCCTCTGCATAGCAACCCTGGACCTCCTTGGTGGTCTCCTATCCCAAGTACTAACCAGGGCCGACCCTGCTGAGCTTCTGAGATCTGACGAGATCGGGCTAGCCTGGGCCACCCAGCTCAGGGCATCCCTCTGTACAGCAGCTTAAACAGAGATCTTCACAGGTCATCTTCTTTCACGAGGTGCTGCCAGGGACTGAGGCATGCAGGAATCACACTGGATAAAGATTCCAGGCTGGCATGCTAAGGAACAGTCTCTTTCCTGGCCTTCAGCAGTCCATGCAGAAGGTGAGAGCCAGTCTGGTGTAGTGGTTAAGTGTGTGGACTCTAATCTGGGAGAACCAGGTTTGATTTCCCACTCTTCCACTTGCATCTGCTGGATGACCTTGGGCAAGCCATAGTTCTGTCAGAGCTCTCTTAGCCCCGCCTACCTCACAGGGTGTCTGTTGTGGGGAGGGGACGGGAAAGGAGATCGTAAACCGCCCTGAGTCTCCAAGTGAAGGGTGGGGTATAAATCCAATCTCTGCTTCTTCTTCATGGGATTTCTGGACAAGCAGTTCATCAGAAGAACCTTATCAGCTGCGTGCTTACCAAATCAGGCAGTTCAACAAGCGTCAATCCACGAGCGGTGAGCGCACAGCCAAGCTGAGTGGTCAAGGTGTGGCTGTCCGTCCGTCAAAACGGCACAAGAAGTCAATTACTGTGCAGACATGACAGGGTGGGTCTGTGTTGGGGAGAGGATGGTGCCAAAAATCCTGCTCTGCCTACAGAAACAGCTGTGCTTGCTCAGAACTGCGGTATGGAGACCAATGATAACATCATCAGTAGAGGTCAGCCACAAGATGATTTCTAGCGTGACTCTGACGTACTAGACGGGGCAGCCCTGCCTGCAGGCTTCCAGAGGTACACTGCTGGAAACAGAAAGCAGACAGACCTTTGCAAAAACAGACCTCAGGGTCTCCTGGCTCATTCCAGTAGGGCACCACCACAACAGAAAAGTAATCAATGGGTGATACACCCAATGCTAGTTACGGTTTTAAAAAATGAGAAATTTCTCACCTAAGAGCTCATCGGTAACTTTAGCATCCGATTTCTCCAGCGACTCTAAAACAAGCATGGACAGATCAGCGGCACTGTTTTGCTAGGAAACACAGAAGGGGGGAGGGGGGAGAGAAAGTTGGGAATGCAGCAAAGCATCTGATTCAAGCCTGTGAACGGACGCTGGCTGTCTCTGCAAAACCTCCTGAGGCAGCCTTAGCCCCTTGGGGTGCAAGTCAAGCACTGCCTGGCTTGGATCCAGACTGCTTTTTCACTCAGCCGATTCCATGGGCCTTTTGCCTGCCCCAGAAACCCCAGCATCTCAAAGGAGAGACCCCCCCTCCCTTTTTTATCAGCAGAAAGCTGGCTGGCTGGCTCCAGTCCTTTTTCAGTTCCCCTCCTGCCTCTGCTAGGCTTAAATACCTACTAGCACTTTAAAGGGGAGGGGTGGGTGGGCAGGGACATGCCTCCAGTCGTGCCCGACTTCTGTGCCCTCAAGGATCTCGCAAGATTTTAAGGAAGAGGCAGCAATGAGAGCGGCTGTGGACTCAGCACTCTGGGTTATTGTGCTTTGGGCTGGGAAGGAGAGTCTCAAAGGGCTGGGAGGGAGGAGGAAAGACACATCGCAGTGTAGCAGGTGCAAGCCAGCACACCGGCAGTTGCCAGAGGCCACTGCAACACTCCCACAGCAAGTGCACAAGGTAACGGGCCACTTGGCTGTCGTGAGATCTGCACCGAGGTGGTCCATCAATTTGCAACTCACTTCAGCAAGATAAACTATGGGTCATGTGTGTGTGCCCCCCAACCCCCAGGATCTTTTAGTTCCGTTTACTGCAGTGTCTCTGCCCTATTTTCCAAAAGGCCTTACCTGATTATGACTGAAGAACAGCAGTGCCCCTGAATACATTAGTTCTCTTGCTTCCACATGTTTGCCTTGGGACATGTACCTGCAAAGAGAGACAAAAGGAGAGGTTTCCAGAACTTAGCACCAAGAGAAAAGAGCAAGTGAGCAGTGGCTCCCAAAAGCGCTCCCCCTGCCACAAATTTTGTTAGTCTTTAAGGTGCTACAGGACTCTTGCTCTTTTGCACTGCTACAGACAGACCAACATGGCTACCCATCTTAATCTACCAAGAGACATGCTCGCAAATGCTTAGCAATGCCTTGCACTAGACGTTATCATAGTCCTTTGAGCACAAGAGATACCATAAATTGTTCGAGCGAGCAAGCAAAAACGTAGGAATGGAGGCGCACATGCCAAATCTAGGGGAGTCGCCCCTAGCAACAGGCCCCGGCAGTGGAGCCAATCCACCTGCTACCCTCTTCGTGAGGAAAGGCAGGCTTTCAAGCCTCCCTCTGCCTGAAAGGGGAGAGCAGGCAGCCAAGCTCCTGGCATGATTTGGCCCTGCTGCCAACCCTCTCTCCCAGTCAGCTGCTGCCCACTAGCCTCATGGAGGAGATGCCAAAAAACTGTTGTATGCAAAGAACTGCCACCCAGAGACAGGAGTGGTACTATGTGGAGGCTGGCTTCCCAGTGAGCCAGCCCCCAGCTGCCTCTAGCAGCAGCAGCACCACCACCACTCGCCTCTTGGGTCCACAGTGCCCCAGTCCCTTTGGCTGTTCCACCACAGCTGTTGAGAGGGGGAAAGGGGAACCTGCTCTCTTTTTCTAGAGGCCAAAACAAGCAGAAGGGAGCTTGCATGGGTGTGCTCCCCCCTTAACAGGATGAGCCCTAACCTGCATCTCATTTATTCATTTAGGGAATTTGTAGCTGCCTTCCCAGCCTGAGGGTCTTCCCCACCCCACCCTCCCCAGCAAGTCACCTTTCCATTGCACTTTTAAAAACACACACACTGTGTTGTATGTTCATGATTTCTCCTGGATCTCCCAACCAATGCCCCCTCTAAGCTGTCGAGTCTTGTGAACAAAAATCCCATTTTGTGAGCTACTGGCATTAAAGTTGTGAGCGAGCAATTTGGCTACTGCATAAATTAGTTTGCTCTGCAGCAAATCGTTCCTGAGCTAAGACAAAAAGGTGTGAGCCGGAGGCTAAAAAACTGTGAGCTAGCTCACATTGACTCACCTTAGAGGGAACACTGCTCCCAACTACATCACTGCTGCCAGACACCACGGTTGTGTGTGCTACGTTTACAGCGATGGGGGGTGCTTCCAAATGCTGCCTCCCCCGCACCCAAAGCAGGGCGTGGTACGAGGCAGAAGGTAAAGCAGCGGTAAGTGGCAGCCAGAATTCACAGTCGCTGTGAACTGGGGACAGACAGCAGAGGCCTGGCCATATGGTGGCTCTGCTTGGTGCCTGTGTGCCAAGCCAGAGTTGCTGGGAGCTGGCAAAGGGCTCACTACAGTGCTGGCCCATCACATGTATCGTGTGAGTCAGGCTGGTTTGGTGCTCACAACCACCTGGTTTGCGGAACAGGTAGGGAGATCCCAGGATGCCGCAGAGCAGCCAGAGCACGCTGACAGTAGAAAACAGATCCTCAAGAGACCCTCATCGGCCCAGAATCAGAACCAGGGCCAATTTCCCAACAGTATAATCCAGTCTCGCCCTACACCAGAATTCCAATCCTCACCAACACCCCTCTTAGAATCTCAAGTTACATCGCGTTCATTCCAGGAACTGCCTTACTGCACCTTATTTCAGAGCTTTTCTGAAGAATACAAAGAATACACGTTCCTTAACTAATATTGGATGCAACTGAGAACTGAGGACACAGTGACATTGGCTTTTTAAAACGAGCGACTTACTAGCTCTTGGGGCTGTGAGAACAGACCCAAAAATGTGTGAACAACCTCAAATGGCCTCTCAGAAGCTGTGGAAGGGGTCCTTGCCCACACCCCATAACTATGTCAATGGGGCACACCCATTTCAGATGTTATAAGAAAAAACTGAATGCCTTTTTTCCCCCTTCAGCAAAGAGTTTTGTTTAGCACGCAATGCCACAGCTCCAGCCACGGCTTCATTATACCCTTGAAGGTTCTTGTAAGAGTCCAGATAATTAATCTTTCCTTGCCGCTCTGGAATACTGGCACAGGCCAGTACATCTAGCTCCTAGTATTGCTCCAGCTAGGAACAAAAGAATGTGCGTATTATTTGTCTTAGCAATTTCCTTTACATAAACTACACAGCATTGCCCAGGCTAGCCCAATCTTGTCAGATCTTGAAGGCGAAGCAGGGTCAACCATGGCTAGTATCTGGATGGGAGACCAGCAAGGAATACCAGGGTTGTGACACATAGGCAGGCAATGGCAACCCACCTCTGAATGTCTCTTGCCTTGAAAACACGAGCGGGTTGCCAGAAGTCAGCTGAGACTCAATGGCCCTTTCCACCACCACCACACTGCATTAACACAAGCAATGAACCATAGAAGAATGAGAACCACAGAGGCTGCTATGAAACCAGAGAGGTAAAGGGACTTTTGTGGCTCCATGTTTGCTAACACGACTGCAGCCGGGGTGTGTGTGTGTGTCATTATGCAGCATTTCACAGCCACTGTTTCGAAAGGGAACAGTTGCAGGCCAAACCACCACAGACAAATCACACTTGCAAAACTCGCCATCTTACCATTACATCCTCAGCACAGACAGAAGAGCACAACAGCGGTCAACCGTCACGGGGCAATCCTAAACAAGGCTCATTGCCTTCAATGGACTTAGAAGGGTGTAACTGTTTATGACTGTGGCGTCAGACACTCAAGTTTGTGAGAAATTTGTATTTTAGCAAACCCAATGAATTCAGATCACTGTTCCCCCCCCCCAGCACAATCCTAAGCAGAGTTATACCCTTCTAAGTCCACTCAAGGTGCAACTCTGTTTAGGAATGCACTGCTGATCTCTTAAAAATTTGAACAGGCCACAAACATCATCAGATATGCAAGCACCATTAATTCAACTTGTTTTTAACACTGGAAAATTACCAGTAACAGGGCTTTTGGTCAGATCAGCAGTACAGAACACGTCTTTGTACTTTCTGCAACCAGCTAAAAGGCATTTAAGAATCAGAATTCTACAGAAGACACAAAATTAAAGATAACAGATGAACTGGACAACTACTTAGCTTGAGCTTGGACTTCAACGTATTTAAAAGGCAAACTCCATCACATTCAGAGTGCCCTAAAACACACCACTGTGGGCATTTAAGAATGCTTCAATGGTTATTTGCATTACCTACCAGGAAATGGAATCCGCAGAACTACACTGACCGTACTCTGTACTTTTTGTAAACTCATGTGCAGTGCTGTTACCTAAGCAAAGACACATCCTTCTAAGCCCAGTTAGTTAGGCCCGATCTACATAAAACAATCTGTACCACTCTATCAACCAGGAACCAGGGATATGTAATGATTGACCATCCAGATGCACATATAGATGCAGTTTTTATACTCATCCTCATTCTGGAGAAAATCACTCACACGTAAATATGCTTTTTATAACAAGGGTTAAATGTTTTCAAGATGGGGTTAAATGTTTTCAAACCAGACTGCCTATGGTATCTGCTGAAGTATTTAACTCAGGCTCCCTTCTTATTTTATAGTCATGCTTCTTATTCCACTTCCGCAAGGATGAGGTGATCTCTGTGACATCTGATCCCTTGACTACTTTAAGAATTCAGCCTGATTTTTATTTTTAAACATCTGAACTGTTTGGTGCAGTGGACAGAGCGCTAGACTGAAGAGGCCTGGCTTCCAATTCCTGGTCAGCCCTCTGAGTGGCCTTGGGCTGCCTGAGTTACTTCTTTACACAGTGATTAAAACATGGAATTTGCTGCCAGGGAATGTGGTGACGGCCACAGGCACAGACAGGGGATGAAAAGGGAATTAAATAGGTTCACGGAGGAGAGGTCTCTCAGTGGCTACTGGCCATGGTGACTAAAGGGAACCTCCATGTTCGGAGGCAGTCAACCTCTGAATACCGGTGCCAGGAGGCAACCTCAGGGGAAGACTTTTGTCTCTTTGCCCTGCTGTTGGCCCTCCAGAGGAACTGGTTGGCCACTGTGTGAGACGGGATGCTGGGCTAGATCGACCACTGATCTGATCCAGCAGGTCTCTTCTTATTTTCTTATCAGGGGAAGGTCTTGGCCTCTATGTCCTGTTGATGGGCATCCAGAGGAACTGGTTGGCCATTGTATGAGACTGTGTAACAGAGTGTTGGACTGGATGGGCCATTGGCCTGATCCAGCATTGGCTTCTCTTATGTTCTTACTAGATGGACCACTGGTCTGATCCAGCAGGGCTCTTATTATATTCAGTTTGGTGTAGTGGTTAGGAGCGTGGACTCTGGTCTAGGATAACCAGGTTTAATTCCCCACTCCTCCACATGCAGCTGCTGGCATGATCTTGGGTCAGTCACAGTTCTCTCAGTTGTTCTGGAAACAGCAATCCTTGAAAGAGTTCTCTCAGCCCCACCTACCTCACAGGGTGTCTGTTGTGGGGAGGGGAAGGGAAAGGAGATTGTAAGCCGCTCTGAGACTCCTTCGGGTAGTGACGGGCAGGGTATAAATCCAATCTCTTATTCTTGTTATCAGGGAAAGGCCTCAGCCTCTCTACCCTGTTGTTGGCCGTCCAGAGGAACTGGTTGGCCACTGTGGGAGACAGGATGCTGAACTGGATGGACCACTGGCCTGATCCAGCAGGGCTCTTCTGATGTTCTTATCAGGGGAAGGCCTCGACCTCTCTGCCCTGTTGTTGGCTGTCCAGAGGGACTGGCTGGCCACTGTGTGAGACAGGATGCTGGGCTAGGTGGACCACTGGTCTGATCCAACAGGGCTCTTCTGATATTCTTGGGCTGACTAGTTGGACTCTCATTCAAACCAACACATGATCGCTCTCTTGCCCTCTCTCAATCTGATCTACTGTTGTGATGATGAGGGGAAATGAAGCACACTGCCCTGAGTGGCGGAAAAGGTGAACACAAAATCTTTTTTTTTTAAAAAAAGCTTGAGAAAAGATAAACAAGCATAACCTGCCCCGGTGCAAGTATTTTTGGTAAGGAAGGATACATTGTGTTGGTTTTCCCCTCCTCTTTTCATAAGGAAAGCAGGTTATCATAAATTGTAGGCTGTAACAACCTTCAATGACGATAATTTGCAGCTGTGAGAAGAACATGGCTCTGGCATCAAGCAGAACATCAAATCTGTCATTTTAGTCATGTGATTGTTGAATGCACAAACTATTAGGACTGCCTTATAGTTTCTAGGAGGATGACTGCCGAGAGCAGGGCGGGCGGTAAAGAGAATTCCCATCAGCTGCTCCATATTTCATCTTTGGGAGTAACACACTAAAACCTAGATTTGTGGGTAAATAGTAAGTCTGTAGAGGAGCAAGAGAGTGGCATCAATCCTACCGGTGCAAGCAGCGCTCCTGGAGCAGCTGACGAGAGCACGCTCCTCTCGTGCATTTTGACATTGCATGGCAGCACAGTGTCATTCTCTCCAGATCAAAATGGCTTCAGCGTAACGGCCTGTGCTTCTGCCAAATGCCTGCGCTTCCAAGCACATGCCCTGGAATTCAAAACCTCCCTCGTGCCAAGTGCTCCAGTTTCTCATGCTTGCCAAGGATTCTGTTCTCACAGAGCAAGGGAATCAGAGAGAACCCTTCAGAGAGAAACCCCCCCCCCCTCGGCCTGAGAAAAGGCAGGAATCTGACGAGACAAACCGCCGACTCGGTCAGCAAGATTCAGCCAGACAGATGCCCTTGCCTCCCACATGGGCCAGGCCCAAACACACCTAACTCCAAAGCTCAGCTCGGCTTACTCCTGAAATCCTTCCTTCCTCCACCTAGCTGCCAAACCCAGAGCAATGACATTAAGAGTGCAAATCCTAAACAGAGTTCCACCCTCCCAAGTGTGTTGATGTCAGTTGGCTTAGAAGGACATAACGCTTCTTAGGATGGCACTTTAAATCCCTTCTCCGAACCTCATCCCATCCTTCCTTGACACCTTCAAGCTTCTTTTACCCGGTGCCTCTCTTGTCTAGAGCAAAAGGTTTGAGGGATAAGTACCTTCCAGCATTTAGCCTGTTCACTGCTGCCCTTCCCCCTGCCAAAGTGCTGCTTTTCTCTAGTGCTGAGCATGATTTGGAAACCGGATGGTACACTGAAGTTAACTCATGGAATGCTGATTTGGTGAGGGAGACCTGGCTGATCTGTAGAGCGCAGGCCTTGCATGCTGAAAGCCCCCAGGTCCAGTCCCTGACATCACTAATGAAAGGCGGCAGGTGCTGGGAAAGACCTTTTTCTAGTCTGAGACCTTGAAGAGCAGCTGTGAGCCAGTGGAGATTATTCTCTGCACTAGATGGGCCCATCATGATCGGACTTATCATCAAACAGCTTTGTGTGTCTGAAGATTTCTTACTTGCTCAAGCTACTCAGTAACACAGAGAGAGGATGGGATTCACCCCCTTCTCTTTACGGATGAAACTGGTGATTCCAGCCTACATGACTGAATACAGATCCAGGAGCCATTATTATCTCCTAATTAACCTCAAGCAAAAGGGTGTAACTCCTACTTAAGAGACTTCCTCCACCATTATGTATAATCACCAAGCACACACCCTTGAACACCACACTATCCATGTGCAAAGTATGAATGAGGGCACATACATGGGCTTTTGGGGGATGCAGGTGGGGGCTGAAAATCCATTTCCAAAAACGAACTCGCCTACAGTCCAAGTATGAACAGTTCTGGAACCTTCTTGCTTGGGCTGATTTTTTAAAACAGTGCCTTATTTTAACTCTGTCTCTTATACCTTGCTGGCTTCATTGTGGTGCATTTCAACTGACTGCTGTCTGCCCGAGGTTCTGAAGGGTACGGAATTCATGTCGGTTTCAGGGGGGGGGGAGGGGGAAATCAGTCCACCAACAAAAACAAAGAATCCAGAAACACCTCAGTTCCAAGCCTGTCTATTCAGAAGCAAGCACCCCTGGTTTCAAAGCAGCCTACTTCCAACCATGTCTACCTACAGCACAGCTGTGGACAAACAGGTTTATTTGCGACCTGAACTTCTGCAGGGTGGAGCCAGCCTACAACAAACGTATCGCTGGTATTTCTTAAACCTTTAAAATAGCCAGGTCTCTCCCACCTTGCATTTTTATTAGGATATCTCCGCGCCCAAGTTTCTGGAGAAAACAGCTTTGTTGGATCAAACCGAATGTCCATCAACACTGTGTCAGCCACGTACCTCTGGAAGGCCACAAGCGGGGCACATAAAGCTACAGTGATTACCAGGATTGCTGTCAGCAACTCATTGGTTTAGTGTCTCTGAATACCAGGACCTTAGTTAGCAACCATGGCCACTAGACAACAGACAAATTCACAGGGGACAGCCTTAACCTCTTCCTGAAGTACTGAAGCCAGAGGCCTTTGCTGTGTTTTGTGGTGCCCAATTCCATCTGACAGATATGACTGCTGAATTGAATCTGACGCAAGGGCTTGTAGCCCACAAAGACACATGTGACAGTAAGCCAGTCTAGATAGTTAGCACAGTGCAGTGGTTGATGTTTAACGGGGGAGGCCCAGGTTCAAGGGAATACAATCGTAAGCGCTTTGAGACTCCTTAAGGCAGAGAAAAGTGGGGTATAAAGACCTCCTCTTTTTCTATGGGGCAGCCTAGCCTACCTCACAGGGCTGTTGTTCAGAGTAAATAAAGAAGGGCAAGACAGACAGGAAAACAAGTAGTTAAACTGCAGGCTACTAGTCATGATGACTAAAGGGAACTTCCACACCCAGCAGAGTAACCTCTGAAAATCACTCATGATTGCAATTATTGTACCAGCTGTACTGTAGTTACTAGTTTCTTTCTGGATCCAGTTCAAGGTGGTGATTTGGACCTTTAAAGCCCTTTACAGACTGGGTCCTGCACACCTGGTGGCCTTTAAAATCTTTCCAACAAGCTTTGCTTTCTCTCCCCTTCCCTAAAAGAACAATGATCTGTAACCAGAACAGCAAGAACATTTTCTTTGGAAGTCCATGTTGTCTCTGCGGTAAGAGCAGCCTCTTCCCTTGTACAGTTCAGACAGCAGTGTTGTCTAGACAAGCTTTGGCCATGATTTAGTTTTAACTTCCAGTTGACAGGAAATGTTTTGATGTTGCTTTATGTGTAAATCCCCTACTTACTGGGTGACTTTGGGCCATTCTGTCTCTCACGGCCTAACCAGACTTGCCAACATAGGCCTACAGAAAAATACCACACTCCTTTTATAGAAGCTTAATAGGATGTTATTTATCGACTGATGCTGTTTACCTCCATCCAACTGCCAACTAAGCCTCTGGTAAAAATAAGGCATTTTTCTCTCCAGGCCTGTCTGCAACCCTAGGCCTAACCTACCTCACAGGATTGTTGGAAGGATTAAAAGGAAAAGGGGGAAACCACGTATGGCACCTTTGAGCTTCCTGCAGGAAAAATGGGATAAAAATGTAGCAGGTAACAGGTAAGATGTTTTTAACTGGTTGTTGTAAAGCCTGCAGTGAAGAAAAAAATGTAACTCCTAGGGGAAGGAGTCCTGTAGCCTGGGGCCAGCCAGCCACACAGAAAGCATGTGCATGGATGCCCACCTAGAGCTTGCTGGGTACCACTGGGCCACTCTTCTCCTCTTAGTCTAGTCTACCGCACAGGACTGTTGTGAGGACAAAATCGACTAGCGAAGAATGCTATTAATCATGCTGGTTGAGTCCCTGGACCAATCATTTTCGGTTCAGCCTCACCAGCTCCTCACTGATGTTGTGAGGATAAAAAGGAGGAAGTGCAATCTGTGAAATATATTACTGGGGGACTCTGAGCCAGCCATTCTTTCTCAGCCGACCCTACCTCACAGAGTTGTTGCGACAACAGGACAGAGAAAGGAGATATGATGAAAAGCAGCAGGTGAGGTGTCCTTGGAAAGGCTGCCAACTCCAGATTGGGAAATTCCTGGAGATTTTGTAGTAGAGTCTGGGAAGGGCAGGGTAATATCATAGAGTCCACCCTCCACATAGTCTATTTTCTCCTGGGGAACTGATCTCTGTAGTCTGGAGATTAGTTGTTCTTCTGGGAAGTCTCCAGGCACCACCTGGAGGCTTGGCAACCCTAGTCCTCAGGCCAGCCTCACCTTAACCTCCCTCACAGGGTTGTTGTGCGCACAAGGGGGGGACACCCCATGGCATTTACGGAGTTGGTGACTTTGAACCACTCAATCTCTCTCAGCCTTTGCCTCCCTCACAAGGCTGTTGTATAAACGACACCAATGACGATGATTCCAGGCCAGATTTTCGGTTCCAGCCTCCCCTCTCCGCATTTCAGCCCCCCTCCCCTTTTTCTCTCCTTCTCGCCTACGCAGGAGTCATCGCCGGACCACCTCCCTCTTTCTCGACCAACCAGGCGCCGGGGGCTCAAGAGCGGCAGCCGGCTCGGCCAATGGCGTGCGGGGAGAGGCCGAGCGCGCGTGGCCGACTGGCCGCCGCTGCTGCCGTGTCGCTAGAAACGTCTGGAAAAAGGCGGGGCGAAGGAAGGTTTCGCGCGCGCGGTGGAGGGAAGAGAAGGGGGGGGGGCTGGTGTGCGCGCAACCCCCCACCACCACCCCCGTCCCCGCGTACCTGAAGAAAAGCGTCCGGTACATCTGGTGCGCCTCGTAATAATCTCCCTTTTCCACACTGGCGCGGAGCTTGCCTTCGACGCGCTGGACGCCGCCGCGGTTCCTCCCGCTGCTGTTGTTGCCGCCGCCACCGCCGCCGCCGCCACCCTTCAAGCCCTCTTGCTCCGCCGCCATGACTGCGGGGCGACAGACGCACACCACCGGAGTCGCCTCGCACCACAGCGCCAGCCCGGCTTCCGTCGGCCCCGCCCAGCGACCGTGGGCAGGGAAGCAGAACGGCGGCCGCCGAGGGACATATGCAACAATACCGCCGACGTCCCCCCCCCCGACGCGCCGGGTCACGTGACAGCGCAAGCGCGGCAGGCACGGGGAGGGAAGGCGTCTCTATGGCAACGCTGAGCCAAGAGGGCACGTGCTGACGTCGAATGAATCGAGAGCGTTAGTCTCGGCAGAGTTGCCAACCTCCTCCAGGTGGGGCCTGGAGACCCTCCCGGAATTATAACTGGGCTCCAGACCAGAGGTCGGTTAGCCCGGAAAACTGTTCCAAAGGGCAGCCTGTAGTGGATTTGGTATTATACCCAGGGTTGCCAGCCTCCAGGTAGTGAGAATTTACTAATTATAAACTCATTTTTGTGTGTATTTTGATTACTAATTTTTGCACTAATGCTTATACAATACTAAGACTGAAGATTCCAATGCAAATTTGTAGACATTCAAACCAGTATCTGGCAACCAGTCATAGTAAAGTGCAAAATTTATATAACTTGTATTTATTAATTATAATAAGATATGAGTTTATAATTAGTAAGTTTTCAGGGTATTTTTTTTGGGTAGCTCATTTCCGTGATTCTCTTTATTCCTTATTAGCCTCCAGGTATTAGCTGGACATCTCCTGGGATTACAACTGATCTCCACACAACGAAGATCAGTTTACCTGGAGAAAATGGCCACATTCAGAAGGCAGACTCTACGGCACTCCACACCCCACTGAAGGCCCTCCCCTCCTCAAACTTCATTCTCCCTCAGGCTCCACCCCCAGAATCCCCAGGTATTTCCTAACCTGGAACTGGCAACCCTAAATTATACCCCTGCTATGGTCCCTCCCCAGTCTCCACGCCCCAGCTCTCCGGGAATTTCCCACCTAGTGCTGGCAACCCTTTCCCAACCTAGTGTTGGCAACTGTCACAAAGTGCCACACAATGTCTGGTGGCACATTAAAGACTAGCAACTATTTGGGATAGTAGATTGTATTGTAATGGATAGTAGAATGCAATAAAATCTGGAATGGTAGGTTGGACTGTATTTCTCCGGACTGGGGACAGAGGAGATACACTGCATAACCATTCACTCTGTGTCAAAGAAGAGGATACCGTACTGTTGCCTCCATGTTTGAGAGGAGACAGATGGAGTGTGATAGCAGGGTCTCAGTTAATTACACTCAGCATTCCACAATTAAGAAGGGAACATTTGCCCATCAATCTCCAATTTTGATACATTTCATTCACTATATTTCCTCCTGGAATTAAACCCAAACAAATGGTGACCACGTAAACTAAGCTTGTTATTCCAGCTTGGTCCTCGCATCTGTCAAACAACTTTATTATGCTGTATGCTAATATGCTGCTCACCCTCTTCCTCTATGTATGGACTGGCAACTTCCATTTCAATGCATCTGAAGAAGTGTGTGTGCACATGAAAGTTTATACCTTGAAAAAAACTTTTGTTGGTCTTAAAGGGACCACTGGACTCAAACTTTGTTCTGCTGCTTCAGACCAACGCGGCTCCCCACCTGAATCTGTCTTCACAGACAGAGAGAGAGTCAGAGATCCTTTTGAAAGTAATCCTTTTGAAAGTCATCCAGATCTCAGCTCAAGTTCTCTAGTGTTGCTTTTCCACTAACACGCATGCTGTGAGGCAATCACATTCTAAGTGGAGCCGGGGTGAATGTCACACACAGACCTTCATGATCCAACTGGTTTTCAAGGAGCACTCATTCTCTGGGAGATTCAGAGCCGTTTAGCACACATTCCAAAGAAGGAAAGGAACTTCATTATTTCCAGATATTACATGCACTTTCAAAAAAAATCAAAACTAAAACATTTTTAGTAACTTCTTGTCAGTTTTGGCAGCTGCAAAGGATACCGGAGAAAACCATTTTGAAAAAAGCATTTACAAAAATAAATTGCACAATCCTTTTTCTTCTTTAAAAATAGTGTTATTCAAAATATACCTCACCCTCTCAGCTCCCCAATTTAGGCTCATACGGAACAATTCTTATTTTATATATTTAACCCACAGTATACGAAATACATATACATTTGAAGGATCTACAGCAGGCATTTTTGCAACTACAATATCCTCCTGATATGCTGAGAAAGATGACTGGAAAAACCAGAATGGTATCTGGGGACAGCTTACTACAAGACAAGGCCAAAGAAAATGACAACAGAACTCCACTGGTGGTCACCTACAGCTCACAACTCCAGCCAGTTTCAACACATTATTAATGACCTACAACAGATACTGGATAGTGACACTTCCCTCACACAGGCACTGGGGAGGGGGCATCCTTTTCTTGCTTATAGACACCCTGCTAACCCCAAACAACTTCTCACCCGCAATGGTAAACTACTTAGCAGTAACATGCCAAGGCCTGCAACAAACCAGGATGCCAACTTTACTCTCACGTAGATCCTAGCAACACCATCAGTGGCCCCAGCAACATCAGCCATACCACCTCAGGTTCAGACTCCTGCTCATCATCTAATGTGATTTATGCCATCACGTGCCAGTTAATGCTCTTCCATCCTCTACATTGGACAAACAGGCCAGTCCCTTTGACAGAGAATTAGTCTGACATTAGAAACACTAAAAAACCACTGGGGGGACATTTTAACCTTCCAGGACATTCAGTTGCTGACCTAAGAGTAGCAGTTCTATTACAAAGGGATTTCAAAGGGAGATTAGAGAGACTGCTGAATTGCAACTGATAATGAAGCTCAAGACAAAGCATCCACCTGGACTGAATCGAGACCTAGGCTTCCTGTCTCCTTACCAATACTGATTTCTCAGCAGCTACTACCCCACTGCATATCACACCTAATCGAATCACACCTGCTATTGTCATTCACCATCTGATATCTCCAATATTTAGGACACATGGACTCACATTCGAACTGTATCTGAAGAGGTGAGCAATAACTAATGAAAGCTCATACCCTGCCACATATTTTGTTAGTATTTAAGGTGCTACTGAACTCTTTTTTCTACTATACATATTTAGCAAACTCTTCTTAAGAGGTCATTGGTTTTATTTCTAGCTGATATTTTAAAGGTATAAAACTGTTTCTCCAGAGATAACTTTAAAGAAATATCTGAGGACTCATTGAGCACAGTTTACCATCTGTTTGGGAAAACACACAGCACCACCATTGTTTTTCCAAGAAGAAACAATATTTCAGTTACTTCTCACACCCCACCGCTGAAAAGTAGGGTATGAGCACAGTAACAGTTCTGCATGCCATCAGTTTAAGGAATCTTTTCCCAACAGGAGTTTAACAGTGTTCCTATCATAGTCAAAAAGGATCCAGAGCCACAAGAGTGTGTCAATATTATAATTTAAAAAGCAGCCACTGTTATTCACAGGAGTTCTAGTAAAATTTTGGTTGCGGTGCTGAAGTTCCCCAACAAGTTCTATTTTTATTTTTTGCAGATGACTCTGTCGCAGGGCTAATTTGTGTCCTTGAGGCCTTCCTCGAATGTGTGTGTGAGACAAGACAGGCTAAGTTCAGCCTCTCCCTAAGAGCAGTCAGTAAGAGCTGATGGAATTTTGAGAGAAGGAAAACTGAAAAAACAGCAGTTGAAAAACGACAGTTAAGGGTTAGCAGCAGAGAAGTTGACAGCTTAAGACGCTTGCAAGTTAACTACGGGCAGAACTTGTCTGGCATCACTTTCTTAAGTCTGTTTCCCCCCACCCCAGGCCTATCCTAGTGAGCCCACAACATTCATTTTGGGATCAAAACTCCTTTCTCTAGGTACACCAGATTTCTGTTTGGGACCAGTGCTCGGCTAAGTTGCATTCAATACACTGACAACATACTCATTCCGTCCTAGAACAAAATTTCAGTCCAGTGGCAACAAAGTTTAATTCTGGGTAGGTATAAGCTTTCGTGTGCATGCAGAATTAAACTTTGCTGGTCTTCAAGGTGCCCCTGGACTCAATCTTTGTTCTCTTGCTTCAGACCAGCACAGCTACCCACCTGAATCTACCCTCATCCTATACTAATGACTAATTCCAGACTAATAGTAAATACTAATTACGACAGCCATCAACTTGCTCAAAAGAGGACAAATGGAAAGGGGTGGTTTTTTAAAAATACAATCCCTCCTTTCCAAGTGCATTAAAAAAAATCTCTAACAGATTTCAGGTCTCATGCTTGAATGACTGTGTCTTTACACTCCTGTGTAGCAGAATAGAGATTTTCCCTTTTGGTTAACTGGGTTTTGTTTTGTTGGGTCTGCAGATTGGCATGTAATAGAATCAAATGTTTAAAAAGTATAAAGCTCTCTGGCAGTTATGGGCTGAGCATTCAAACAAATAACCATTGAGTTTTGCATACAATTCAGGTTGGCAGTCTTCTACAGTATATCAAGCCTGTAGCCAGTATTTTGTGGCTTGTGGTGCAGATTTTTTCTGATAGGGCTGAAGTTCTCAGTGCAGAAAGAAAAGCCATGTAGCCAATAGAAAGCTGTTACCAGGATAGAGCTCTAAACCGCAAGGTGTCAACCACTTTAGGTGACAGTTCTCAGCTGCTGCAAGTTAATCCCTTCTGCCAGCCTAAGCAACAATTCCAACAAGCCGGCAGGTGGGGGTGATGACTTCTAAAGTCAAGAAAGCTAACACTTAGGCAGAAAAACTCTCTTAGAGGAGACCAGTTTCTTGACACAGTTAGAAGGGATCCTAGAGGTCACCTACTCCAACCCCCTTGCTCAGTGCGGGGATTCGTCAACTACAGCACCCCACTCTGCTTAAAGGAGCGCATGCCTTTAAAAAATGTTTTTAAATGATTGCAAAAAGCATTTACAGGAGAAATTCTTGTGCGGGTCTGCCTTTAAGAAAGGGGGCAGAGCCCCCAAAAGCCCCACCATAGCTATGGGCCTGCACTATATACATATATTCTGGAGGGGGGACCAGTAGCAGGAAACCCTGCATCACATTAACTGGAGAAGTCTCCCATGCACACAGAAACAATACAGGCACGTGTACTCGGCATTGCCCCAGTTGGAGGTGTTCTTGAGGTAAAAAGCACTGGGAAAGTAGAGAACACCTGCTGCTGTGTTTGTAGGGAACAAGAGTTTGCATGTGGCCAGGTAACACTGAAAAAGAGTTTGCATGTGGCCAGGTAACACATAAAGAGGTGCAGTAAAAAGAACCCAAGGCAGTTTGAAAAAGGGAAAAACAAGTTGGCAAAATAGGATTTGCCCTCCCGGGGTAAAGATTTCTGCTAAAAAGTAAGAAGGAGCTCTAATAAAAATCCTCAAATGGTTAAGACAGAATAGGTTTGGCAAGAAGATGTGACACTACCGAGGTAACAGAAAATGGCAACATGTAGGGCGTTGTCACAAAAACGCCTCCCAAGAAAATGAAGGCTGCTGAGGATAAAGCAGTGAAGTGGAGAGGGAAATATGGAAAACGAAGGAGAGACTGCAGTTGACTCAACTTGAACGACAGGAACAAACTGAATTAGCAGCTGAGGAACAAAGAATTCAAATTAGAAATGTGGAAATTAATGTCAAGAGAAATGGGGCTGGGGAGAACCAGGGAGAGAAAATTTATCTTTAGAAAACGGCTTTAAAACAGGGCACACAACAGAAAGAACCTCGCCTGCTTGACACAGACTATACCGGAGGTGGTGGCAAAAAGGCCAGGAAAACACCTCAGGGCAGAGAAGAGGGGACGGGTCTGGGGGGGGGGGGGGGAGTGTGATGTCAGTGAGATGAAGCAGGACATCTGAGTAATAATTGCCCCCAAATTAATAAAACATGGAAGAAATGTTACAAGTGTGGTGAAACAAGGCCCTGGAGTTGGAATTGCCCAAGAATAAATAACTAAACTGACCCTAATATATAAGAGCAAGTGAATGTTACGAAACAAACACAGAGTGCCATAGCTCCTAAACAGTTAAGAGTAACTGACACAAGAGGGCGTAAAACCTTCAGACGCTCTGTGGCGGATCAGACACCAGAAGGACCAACTGCCCCGTTATGCACAGGACATTCCAGGGTAGGTATGTTCATAACACCGGAGCAAGGCATGGGTCCCGATCACAGTGAAACGTTGGTAGTGGATGGACTTCAGTCATTAGCAAGAAGGGATTCAAGGTCTGAGGTTAGCATCACCCAGACCTCCCTTGGCCAAATTAGAAAACTGGGTGAAGAAGAAAAACATAATTCAAGGACTGGGAGGACCTGCTTTCCCAGTGCCTATGGCTAAAGTATGTAGACAGTATTAAGCAGAGGTGTCGAACTCATTTGTTATGAGGGCCAGATGTGACATAAATGTCACTTTGTCCAGCTGAGTGCCATAAAATGTGTGCCATAAAATGTAATTTTACGAAACAGTATGGGAGATATAAACTTTATAAAGGACACAGACAAACCCAATTAACAATATTTTTTAGTCCAAATACAAACATGCCTAAAACATTAACACTCTTATAGTATCTCCCTGATGCCCACCCTCCCACTTTCAACACCCATTACTCATTAGCACTGGGACATTATGTTGTTGTTCAGTCGCACAGTCGAGTCCGACTCTTCGCGACCTCATGGACCAGATCATGCCAGGCCTTCCTGTCTTCTGCTGTCCTCTGAAGTTTGCTCAATTTCATGTTCGTTGCATCTATGACACTATACATTATACACTATACAGGGACACAATGCACAGCCTCTTGGGACACAATGCACTGCCTCTTGTCCTCTGGCAATAAAGTTGTAAAAGTGAGAAGTAGCTCCCAAAGCAAAACTCAGCAGCAGGCATCAAATCCAAAGCAAGGGGTGGGCACCCAAGACATCTTACCCTGTAGTGTAACCTCTGAGGAGGGAATTAAAATCACCATGGGCTGAAGGGAATAAGCATAATTCCAACTGTGGAAAAAGGATCAACTGAAAGTATAGCAGAACCACAACAGGACGACAAGCTGCAGTCCTTAAAAGACAGGGCCAAAACAAACCTTCCTGGCCTCACACACGAACATCCTGTGCAACTTATAAAATAAACAGGGCAGGATACATAAAGAGCCCTTGAGGCCTTCCCCAAATGCACATTAGTTTGGAGGTTTTGCCTGGTGTTCTAAAAGATTAGCAGCAATGCCAGGAACCCCTACAAGGCACTGAAAAGATAAACCGTACACAAAAGAAAAGTGTGAGCAACTGAACCTGGAGCTGGCAACCCTACCCCATAACCCCCCCATTGAACATATTGAAGCAGGGGTTCTGTCCTTCTCCACAAATCAGTATATGCATAACATTTGATCAGTTTCATGCCAGATCAGGATCCAGACATGTGTGCATGGTGATCCTATTTAGCCATCGCCGCTAACAGCCAGAGAGAGAGAGAGAGAGAGTCAGAGATCACAAGTGTGGCTAATCTTTTCAAAGGTCATCCAGGTCGCAGCTCAAATTCTCTAGTGCTGCTTTCCCACTAACATGTATGCTGTGAGGCAATCACATACTAAGTGGAGCTGGCGTGAATGTCACACACAGACATTTAAGGTTACACACAGACATTTATGATACAACCGGTTTTCAAGGAGCACTCATTCACTGTGAGATTTAGAGCCATTTAGTACACCTTCGAAAGAAGAAAAGAAACTTTATTACTCACTTCCAAATATTACATGCACTTAAAAAAAAAATCAAAACTCTTAAACATCTTTAATAGGTTCTTGTCAGTTTGGAAGGCAGCAAAGGATATGAGAGACAAATATTTTGAAAAAAGCATTTACAAAAATACATTGCACAAAGTCCTTTTTTTCTTTTTTTTCTTCTTCTTTAAAAATAAGTTAGTGTTAAAGTTAGTGTTATTCAAAATATTCCCCACCCTCTCAGCTCCCCATTTTAGGTTTATACAGAACAATTCTCATATTTATATATTTGTTTTATATATTTAACCTACAGTATATGAAACACCTATACATATTTAGCAAACTCTTCTCAACAGGCCATTGGTTCTATTTCTAGCTGAACTTTAACTGAATAAAACACAGTATTTCTCCAGAGACAACTATTTTAAAAAAATAAATATTTGAGGACTCTTGTGGAACACACATTAGCCACCTATTTGGAAAACCACACAGCACCACCATTGTCTTTCCAAGAAGAAAGAAACCTACATTTAAGTTACTCCTCCTCCTCTCACCCCACCACTGAAAAGTAGGGTATGAGCAAGGGAGAAGTTGTGCATGACATCAGTTTAAGGAAACTTTTTCCAACAGGAGTTTAACAGTACTCATATCACAGTCAAAAAGAATCCAGAGCCACAAGGGTGTGTCAATAATTTAAAAAGCAGCCCCATTATCGACAGGAGTTCTAGCAAAACTTTGGTTGCTGTGCTGAAATTCCCCACCAAGTTCTATTTTTATTTTTTTGCAGATGATTCTGTCACAGAGCGAATCGTATCCTTTGGGACTTCCCCCAAATGCACATTATTTTGGAGGTTTCCCCTGGCTTTCTAAAAGGTTAGCAGCAATGCCAGGATCCCCAACAAAGGCTTTGAGAAGATAAACCATAAACAAACAAACAAACAAATGTGTGAATAAGCCCAGGGTACGAATTTTGCTTGCAAGTTAACCGGAGGCAGAACATTTCTGGCATCACTCTCTTAAGTCTGGCTTTTCCTTTCACGACTTCTCGCTACAGATCCTACACCCCACCTATCCTCATGAGCCCATTTAATTCAGGACCACAGAAAACATTCCTTCTTGGATCGGAACCCCCTTCTTCCTCTATGTACACTATATATCTGCTTGGGACTAATGCTCGGCGAAGCCTGCATCCAACATACAACACACTCACTCCATACTAATGACTAATTCCAGACTAACAGTAAATACTAATTACAACTGCCATCAACTTGCTCAAAAGAGGACAAGTGGAAAAGGGCAATTTTTTAAAAAATACAATCCCTCCTTCCCAAGTGCATTTTAAATAATCCCTAACAGATTCCAGGTCTCATGCTTGACTGTGTCTTTACACTTCTGTGTCGCAAAATAAAGATTTTCGCTTTTGGTTAATCGGATTTTGTTTTATTTGGCATGCAACAGAATGAAATGTTAAAAAATATAAAACTCTCTGGAAGTTATGGGCTGAGCATTCAGGTTGGCAGTCTTCTGCAGTCATCTACACTATATACATATATACAGGGGGGAAAAGCGTATTAGCAAGAAACCGTGCATCACATTCACTGGGCAAGCCTTCCGTGAACACGGAAACGATATAGGCACGTGTACTCAGCGTTGCCCCAGTTGGAAAGGATTTTTAATTCGACAATTTGGTACGCTTTGTCCACTGCCTCCTACAAGAGAGAAAAAGACACATGCTAATTTATTTTAGGAAATTTAAGGGGGGGGGGGGTTGGCAGCAAACGTGCCATTGTAATGTACTGAAAACGCATGACTATTTTCCAGCCACGATTAAACACTTATTCATTCAAAACAATTTCAACGGGAGAGTCCAACATGAGCTTAAATCTCTTTCACTTAAAATCAATGGGATTGAAAATGGTCTCAGCTTAGGCTGGTTTGTGCTTTTTTACCTTTAAAGGATCCACAGTCTTGTACCCGTGAACTCCTCCATACCCTTCCACATTTGCCTTCTACTTTTCACACACTTTTCATGGCCACTTCCCCTGCTGCTTCTAAAATGCTGCAGCCACAGGTACTGGCCTATTAAGATTCACGAGACCATCATAGGTAAAGTTTAACAAGGATCTTTAACCTGGAGTAGTCTACGCTATAAGCCTCTGCAAATGACTCTTCCCTTGAAAATAGACCTGTGCATCAGCACTCCTCAATAAAGAGGTGTCATGATCTGGGCTGTGCCACCAGAGGCCTACTAGGCCCAGGGAGCTAGCTAGCAGTAGGGGAGGCTGGGCCTACAAACCCCAGAAGGCCTTGGGAAGTTTTGGCGCCGATTTTGACCGATAAGGAAGAAGAGGGCTGGTGAAAAACAGGTTGCTTACCTGTAACTGATGATCTTCGAGTGGTCATCTGTGCATTCACACCCATAGGATACAGTGCGCATGTGCTGGATCGATCGGCACTGTAGCAAGCTCTTAAAGGATTTTCACACCCAGACCTCGGGCATGCGCAGGAACCCCACCACGCATGCCCAGAAAGTGGATGCGGACATCCCGCCAGTTCCTTCGAACTGCCGCAAATCAACCCCTATGGAAATTGTAGAAGCTGACAGCAGCGGGGAAGGAGGGTGGGTGGTGTGAATGCACAGATGACCACTCGAAGATCACCAGTTACAGGTAAGCAACCTGTTTATCTTCGACGTGGTCTCTGTGCTTCACACCCATGGGAGATTAGCGAGCAGTGGCCTACCTGGAGGAGGGTGCTGGCAGGTCATTACTGCGAAGCCGAGGATATGATGCCCCATGTTGGTACTAGAGTTCTTTCAGACGTCTAGGACATAGTGCCTTATGAACGTGCTAGGCGTGGCCCATGTAGCGGCTCTGCAAATGTCCAATAGGGGAACTCCCTGGAGGAAGGCAGTTGAGGCTGCAACAGCTCTGGTTGAATGAGCCCTGACAGGGCCAGGCAATGGCTGCTTGGAGATAAGGTAGCAGAGGCGGATGAGACCTACAATTTATTTATATTTAGGTATTTTTATCCTGCCCTCCCCGCAAGCGGGCTCAGGGCCGTTTACAATCCACTTTGATAAATGCTGAGCCGTGACGCACCTCCCTAGTTTTGCTGGCGCATAGGAGATGAACAGTTGACAATCACGTCTCGTTGGACGGGTTCTTTTTAAGTAGAACGGGAGCGCACGCTTCGCATCCAACGTGTGTAACATTCTCTCCTCTGAGGATGTCGGAGCTGGGAAGAAATCTGGGAGGAAGACCTCTGCCTGTAGGTGAAATTCTGACACAACCTTTGGCAGGAACGAGATGTCAGGTACGAGGCGGACGCCGTCTGGCAAAAAAGACAAGTAAGGAGTGTCATGTCTGAAAGCCAGTATTTCTCCAACTTGCTGTGCTGAAGTGACAGCAACCAGAAAGGCCGTTTTCCACAACAGGAATTTTACGTCGAAAGTTGCAAGCGGCTCAAAAGGTTTCCTGGTGAGTTGGCGAAGGACCAGGGGAAGGTTCCAGGGGACGACAGGAGTTTTGATGGGAGGGTAGAGGTGCAACAGTCCCTTCAAAAAACGTTTTGAGAGTGGATGCGAGAACAGTGTGCATCCCTCAACTTGAACATGGTAGGCCGAAAGTGCGGCCAAATAAACCCTTAACGAGGAATGTGAAAGTCCCGAGTCAGCGAGAGACAGGAGGAATTAGAAAACTTTCTCGAGACCTGCAGAGGTGGCTCGAGTGGCATCATCACCCAAGGAGGAGCAGAATTTTTGCCACTTGTAATGATTTTTGCCACTTGTAAGGACTTGCGCATAGTGGACTTTCTGGAGTTTAGCAAGACATTTGCTATGCGGGCGGAAAGGCCGTTGACGCTACTCTCCAGGCTGTCAACTTCATTCGTGGCACGTTGTGGTATAGGAGAGGAGACTCGGTTAGAAACAAGAGGTCTTGTGCCGGAGGAAACTGGTGGTAGACTCCCGCTGACAAATTGAGGATGGTTGAGAACCATGGTTGCCTCGGCCACCACAGGGCTATGAGGACGCAGTCTGCTCTGTCGCTGATGATTTTGTGGACCACTCTGAGAAGCAGAGGCAGTGGAGGGAAGAGGTAGAGAAATCCTCTGGACCACGGAAAGAGGAGACCATCCCCTAGAGACTGTGGGTCCCTGTCACCTCGGGTGCAGAACAGAGGGCACTTTTTGTTTGCTCTGGTGGCAAAAACATCTATTTGGGGAACTCCCCACCTGCGGAAGAGTGAAAGAAGGTACGTTGGATTCATTTGCCACTCATGGAGACTGAGTCCTGCTCGACTCAGTGGTCTGCCTGTACATTCATGTGCCCCGGGATGTGCATGGCGACTAGCAAGACGTTGTGGGCGATGCAGAAGTCCCATAAATGGAGGGCGAGGTCGCAGAGGCGTTGGGAGACAGTGCCCTCTTGTTTGTTCACAAAACTGAGGGCAGTAGTATTGTCCGTGAGGACCGTGACACATTTCCCCTTGATTAGGGGCAGGAAAGTGGTGACAGCGGACTGTATCGCAAGCAGTTCCAGAAAGTTTATGTGCCGCCTCCGTTTCTGAGTGTCCCATTTGCCTCCGACACAAAGTTCCATCATGTGGGCGCCGCAGCCCGAGAGGGAGGCGTCTGTTGTTAGGGTCATTTGGGGTGATGGAGGATGGAAGGGTGCTCCCTGAAACAGATTGGAAGGGACAGTCCACCAAAGTAATGACTCCCGTGGATTGAAATTGCGGATAAACCATAGTTTTAGGTGACACATTTTTAATTTGGTAAAGACCAGGACTGACGTAGTAGCAGCCATAAGGCCGAGTAGCCTTGTATTTGAAAGGCCGTCACTGAAGGTCGGGAACAGACGACAGTGGCTAGGTGGACGATGTTGGCACTCTGTTTTGTGGCAGATAAGCCGTGCAATTCGTGGAGTCCAGTAGCGCACTGATGTAGTGTATCTTCTGGACCAGGTGAAGTTGAGACTTTTCTAGATTTACTTGTAGACCTAGGTTTTCGAGGAGGACCAACGTCTCACTAGAGTGTCTTTGGAGGTTGCTACCAAGAGCCAATTGTTGATGTACGGGTATATAGAGATACCCTTGAGACGGAGGAAGGCTGCGACAACCACCATGGTCTTTGTGAAGACTCTTGGTGCACTTGAAAGGCTGAATGGGAGGGCTGGATATTGGTAATGCTGTTAACCAATTGCGAAGCGTAGGTATTGGCGGTGGGACGGGTGGATGGTAAGGTGGAAGTAGGCATCTTGTAGGTCGAGGGTGGCCATTCAGAAGTTTTTCTGGAGGAGTGGCAGAATCTACTGCAAGGACACCATGCGGAAGCGGTGGTAGGTCACAAAGCAGTTTAGTGCCCTTAGATCTAATATTCGTCTAACGCCTCCATCCCGCTTTGGAACAGTAAAATAATGGGAGTAGAATCCCTTGCATTGTCGATGCAGTGGCACCGGCTCGATGGCTCCCTTCTGCAGAAGGACGGACACTTCTTCCAAGAGAGCTGGAGAAGGGGGTGTGGAGACGAAGACAGGAGTAATGGGGTTCTGGATGAATTCTATTGTCCGTGGTGATGAGGCGCCAGGATTGGAGGAAAGTTGGATGTGACTGGGAGATATGGAAGTAAAAAATGCTGCTTGGCGGACTTTGCCTGCTTACTGCGGGAAGACTGTTGTCCCGATCCAAATCTAGGTTTCTGGAATGTGGGTTTCTGGCCTTCAGAGGATGTACGTGGCCTCCATTGTCAGTCAGGAGATTGACGGTTTGGGGTGCGTTCGTGCCAGGGTCTGGACCAGGGACGAGGTCGATAATGTTGTCTCGTGGATGAGAAAACGCCGAGAGCACGAGAAGTTTTAATACTTTTATCCATGCCTTGCAATATGGTGTCTGTAGTACTGCTAAACAGAGCAAGGCCATCAAAGGAGAGGTCCTCTACGTATAACCTAGTATCTGGCTGTAGATTGGTGTTGCGTAGCCAGGAATGCCTTCAGAGAGCTATGGCTGAAGCCATTGTCCTTGAGGAAGTGTCTAGGGCATGTTTGGAGGTATTGATTTGTTGCTTTGCCAGCACCATGCCCTCCTTTTGGATGATGCCGGCTGCCTGATGCTTGTCTTCTGGGAGGTGAACCAGAAGCTCAGAAAGTGTACTCATACACGCTAAGTAATTGGTGGTCTTTACTCCTAACGCTCCCGTAGAGTAGCATCCGAATGCATCTAACTTTCTGCTCTCCTTGTCTAAAGGTGCAGAATGTGTTCTCTTGGACTTGGATGAGGAAGTGACTACCATGGAACTTGGTTGAGGACGGGCGAATAAGAATTCTGCTCGTTTCTTGGACTCTGTACATGTGGTCAAAGCGACGTGTGGACACTGGAGCCGATGACGGTTTATCCCACGGGGTCTTTGCTGCCTGTAACAGGACCGTAGACATGGGGAGTGCTATAGCCATCGATGTATCTAACTGGACAGCATCAAAGACAGCATCTGTTATCTGTGGATGTGGTTGTACGAATGAAAGGTCAAGGGAGTGTGCCATTCTTTTTATAAGGTCTCCATAGGAGGTTAAATTATCAGGCAGAGATATAGGTTGGTCATCGGCTACTGCCTGGTTAGGAGACGGTTGGTCAGGGGAGCTATGGACATCCGAAGCCCCTGTGTCAGAATCCTCATCCACAGACTCAGAGGAATCGGGCTCTGGCAATTGTACCGGAGTAGTCTTGACTTGACTGTTGGATCTGTTGACGGTGGGATAGGGGGACTGGGAGGACGATATTGATCCGGTCGATGTCGAGGAGGGTCATCAGATGGATGATCTGGTGGACGGGAGAGAGACATCGAAGGCCTCGATCTATAGGGTGACCGTGATCTGTGGGCAGAGTAATGATCCCAATCAGAGTAACCTGCTGGAGTCAACCATGGCATGGATGCTGGTGGATAAGCCCCATAAAGATAACGCAGTTGGCGGTGATCCCAGGAGAGAGGAGGTGGGGCGGGGGGCAGGAAGACTTGTGGGGATCTACTCCTGGAGTGGGAGCATCTTGGATACAGTGTAGGATCTCATCTCCATGTGCGGCCCCTATTAGCCCGATTATCGATATCGAAGGGCCGATCCTCGGCGAACAGACGGGGAGGATGATGTTGAGTGCTTTTAGAGATCTGTCGATGCCGAGCCACATCGATATCGGCATGGCACTCCAAGACCGTCGATGTCGAAGACTGAGCAGAGGGAGAGCGATCCTGCCCGGGGGATGACTGAGGATCTAGACATTATCAATTATCATGATATCGACCAGCGTATCATGATCTAGCTGGTGTATGGGAGAGTCCAATACCTGGATGGTCGGCATCGGTGGAGCGACCGGAGCGTCCGATGCCGATACTGCCGTTGGAGCGGGGGTATTAGGGGGATTATCTGGTGCAGCACCCGCTACATTCCCAGAATTCGCCGCCTTTAGTGTCTTAGAGGAGCCATTTTTGGCGGACTTGTGCTCTTTACCCATCTTCTGTTTCCTTTTCACAGGCGTCGACGCCGAAGACTGCGCTGTCGGTGCCGAACGCTTCAATGTCGACTGAACGATGTCAGATTAGGGCTTTGAAGCCGGAGCAGTCGATGTTGATGGTCTTACCGGGACTTCTGAGTTCATGACTGAAGTGGGATTTAGCGCCGACTCTAGTAACGCTACTCGGAGTCGTGCCACTCGGTTTTTTCTAGTTTGATTGGAAAACTTGGCACAGTGTCGACAGGACTCTGGTCGGTGTGTCTCGCCAAGACAAAAAATGCAGAGGGTGTGGCCGTCAGGTGGAGCGAACTTACTGCCACAGCCCCTGCAACGCTTGAAAAAGCCCCACTTCTTCTCCATAAAATAAGCAAAAACGGAGAAGGCGGTGGGGAAAGGGGGAGGGAGCCCAAAGGCCAGAGTGAGGTAAACGAAAAAGGTTCCCCCGAAACTAAACGTTCTTTTTTTTGTGTGAAGAAACAACAAAAGAACAAAGTTAGAAGTGAAAAATAAAGAAAACGAAGAGGTCTGAGGAGAAAAAAAGCTACCAATCAGACCGACAAAAGGAAGGTGCTTCCAGTGCGGCGGAAAGAAAGGAACTGGCAGGATGTCCGCGCCCACCCCTCTGGGCATGTGTGGTGGGGTTCCTGCGCATACCCGAAATCTGGGTGCGAAAATCCGTTAAGAGCTGGCTACAATGCCAATCAATCCAGCGCATGCGCACTGTATCCCATGGGTGTGAAGCACAGAGACCACGTCGAAGATTAAAAGAATTGGTACAAGAGAAAAAGCTGTTCTTCCCAGGGAACAGACCCAGAGAAGAGGCTGCTGAGACAGTGAGCTAGGGACAGTATATATTTAGACGCGTTAGGGCATTTGTTGTCTTTTATTTTCACCCACTTACTGGTATTATTCTTGCACCTTGTTTGTTTGACCTCCTATAAAATAAACCTTTTCCTTGTTGTTTACTCTGCCTGGTCCTCACGCCTATTATTTGGCCAAAAGGGAGGTCTGAAGGTCTTGGGAGGGTGCTCTGGGCGTTCGCAAGGGTTCCTAAATCCAGAGTGCTGGCAGCGTCAGGTGACAACCCACCTGAGCCGTGACAAGAGGTTAAAAGCAGCTCTGGGGAACCTGTTTTAGCAGAACTACGACATTTCTAGCTGACTTCTAATCCAACCATTTAAAATTGTAGCAGTTCAACTGCAGATATTAAGAATATTTTTTACAGGTTCCTGGTGTAAAAAGCTACTTGCCAGAATCAAAACCTTTTTCAAGGAGGTCAGAAAACCTTATTCAAAGTTGGCTCTCAGCTGAACGAAAAATGACCAACCAGCAAGTAAATATGGCCTGTTTTTGAGGCTGTATTTGCATAGACAGAATAATCAACATGTTTGGATCTTACTTGCTGCAGTGACAATATCCATTTGTTTATTTCACAGGCAGTCCTTGTGAGTTGGAAACTAACACATTGCAACCTTTATGCAACAGTTCCACATCAATGCTGAAAGCGTGCAGGCCACAAAGGCAGAACAGAGAAACAAAGGCAGGTGTATTTTACAAATAGCAAGGTTAACATACCGTCACTTGGAATATCTGTAATGATTTGCCATCATGATCATACGTATACTGCCCTAGCAGGACACCTTCTTCCTGATATTCATCTGCTAGACCCTGTGGAAGGGGGGGAGGGCAGTTTAATAGTGCTTTCAATTCAAGAGAAAAGAGTCAAGCGAAAAACAAACAAACCTCAGTAATGAAAGGATTCTCTCCTTAAAAGGACAGGAAGATCCACTATATCATAACACAGACAAATAAAGAGGGAGGGAGATCATATGTACAACCTAGTAGACTTTTTTTGAAATGATGGAAGGGAATATAAATATTTTGGGAAGCAATAATAATTTTGACTTCCATCTTGTAATTTTATTGGTTTATTAAAAGATGCATATCTTTTAAACTATCAGATAAAGGAGAAACATCTAACTTGAAGAAGACAGACAAACAAACAAACAACCAGAATTAAACAACCCAGAAACAATTTCAGAAACAGGACCATCAATAGCTTCCAGGTTGAACAACCTTCATATCTCAATGCCCCCAAAACACACTTGTGGGGTGGTGGTGGTCCTATATGTCTTTTGGAAGCAAAGCAAGGTGGGCAAGGGCTTTTCAAAACCCTTTGGACAGCCCACCCCAAAGAGCCAAGAGCCACAACCGAGGAAAGCTCTCGATGTAGCTGATGAGGACAGAATTTGCCAAAGTAGTGTGGAATACCAGCAAAAAAAGCATCCGGAAGACTTAATCAGTGGGTCTACACAAGATGAATATTCTGGTTTATTGTGTCAGTGTTTCTTTGCCAGAAGTCCCTTCCCACTTTGTTTTTTAAGACCGTAATGAGTTCAGCCCTTTGGTCTTCCACAGCTCTCAAATATGGCTTCAAGGGAAGCAAGCCATGAAGCAGGGTCATCATCAATTAAAGCTGTGGCATTTGAAATCTTTTGAATAATTATCAACCGCAATTCAACACAAGGAAAAACATTCAGCTTGCCACAGATGAAACTTACATATACGGCAAAATCTTTTGGTGCACTGTCGATGTTTCCTCTGGGTGAAAGCGATTTCGAAATGTGTTCCAATGTGAAAGCTGTAGGATGGATCATCATCGACAGGCGGATGACCAGATGCCCCTGTGATCCTCGAAACGCCCAGCAGTTTCCTGGGTACATGTCAGGCTAAATGGATGGGGTGGGGGGAAGGGGAGAGATGTTAATACTGCTGTCGTACTTCAGTAACAGAAGAAGTTCTGTGTCATGTAAACAGGTGGGGTAACAAACACAACCAATGGCATTTTGCACCACGAAAATTAACAGCTTGGCTAAGAAGCACCTGCCATTGTATTGTGGCCTTTTAAGAACAAATCATTTAAGAGGGGTGGTGTAGCAGTTCAAAAACAGAGCGACTGGCCATGGCATCCTCATCAACAATATTTTCTTTCTCTCTATGGGACTTGAGAGGGATGAAAATTGTCTGGTTTGACCCTGTCCACTTGCAGGAACAGACCTTCTCTGGGTGCCTCCTCCCCAGAGCAGTTAAGAAGGCCCTTCTTGCCTTTGTGCCCAGGTCCTGGAACTCCCACCCAGTGACTTCCCTTCGCTTTCAGAACCCTGCAGCCTGCCTTTCTGCCCAAACAAACATGCTCCTCTTTCCTAGTTCCAACTGCCCAGGGTACACTGGGGTTCCACAGCGAGCCTGGCCCAATTTTTATCTGCTCTTCAGTTTCCTTGATGTTGGTGGTTTACACTGGGGAACAAATCTTATTGTGTTGTTTTAATTGATGGCAAGCTGCCTTCAGTCCCATGTTGGAGAACACCAGCCCAGCACTTTTGAAAAATCACAGTGGTTTTCAAAGGTATTTTCCCTTCAGGGAAACATTCCACCGTGTCTGTTATTTTTCATTATTTTCTTTTACACTCACCTCTCTCCCTGAAGGTGGCCCAAAGTGGCCAACATCATTCTCCCCTCCTCTATTTTATCCTTGCAAAAACTAGGTAAGGTAGGTTAAGCTGAGTGTGTGTGACTGGCCCAAAGCCACCCAGTGAATTTTTGTAGCAGAGCTGGGATTGGAACCTGGAGTCTCCTGGATCTCGGTCCCACCATCTTAACCATCAAACCACCCTAAATCTCCAGCCATAGTGGAGGGTTTTCGGGTGGAAATGTGGTCTGGACAGGACAGGCCTGATGTGCTCCATTCTCCTCTTCAGTGAGCTGAGAGCTGAATACACTCTGGTGTGTTTCTCCCTTCCTCTTCTAACCAGAGTCAGCATGGCTTACTAAATCACATTAAATGGATTGCATGAAACACTCCAGTTCTCTTTACAATTCAGGCAAGACTAGCCTCAGTGATTCTCAGCATGTTCAGCATGTTGCTTAAAGACTCTTAAAGGCTTGTAGGATCAGACCAAGATCCACCCAGTCCAGCATCTTTTGCCTGGATTCTAGCAAGTGCCAACCAGTGCACCTTCAGCCCATTTCAATTCTTCTTTGTAAGTAAGTAATCCTAGGCTTAGACTTAGTTTCAAGTGCTACAGTTGCAGTTAAAATAAGTTTCTGCCAAAATGGGGAGGGGGAGATGCTGATATCACAGGAGGTGGAAGCGGCTACAAGCATGGACAGCTTCAAGAGGGAATTAGATAAGCATATGGCCCCACTGCTGGACTTCCTGATGGCACCTGGTATTTTTGGCCACTGTGTGACACAGGGTGTTGGACTGGATGGGCCATTGGCCCGATCCAACATTGGCTTCTCTTATGTTCTTAATGTTCTTATGACATTCTGACAAGGTATGATCGGCCTTCTGTATAGGTTTCCTCGATTACACGGTATGCCTTTCCATTTGTGGATGCAGACTCACTCCGGGATTGGCTAGACCCACATGGAAAACCAAGGACTCTAGACGGGGAATCGATGAAGGCTGCCTCCCCCACCCCTAACCCCGCCACATAGAAACCTCTCTTGGAAGCAATCATTCCACTGGCAGAAAATGAATTACTTCCAGCTCAGCAAAGCCGTCTAAACAAAGCCTGGGGTCTACCATATTGGGGCAGCTTTGGATTAGCGGCCCTGACGTATTTGAGACACCTGACCTATGTGGCCTGCCACTGCACCTTGTGGGAGCTAGTGCGGCTCAGGGCTCTGGCAGAGCAGCCAGCTGCAAAAGTCCCGTCTTTGAACAAAAATGTGTGCAAAAGAAGAAGAGATTGGATTTATACCCCCCCCTTCACTACCTAAAGGCTCACAATCTCTTTTTCCTTCCCCTCCCCCCAACAGACACCCTGTGAGGTAGGTGGGGCTGAGAGAGCTCTCTCGAGAACTGCTCGTGAGAGAACAGCTCTGAGAGAACTTGTGCCTGACCCAAGGTCACACTGGCAGCTGCATCTGCAGGAGTGGGGAATCAAACCCAGTTTTCCCAGATTAGAGTCCGCGATCCTAAACACTCGAATGAGTTCTAACGCAAGCCCTGTCTTAGTTGCACCAACCCTTGGGAACCAGAGACTTCAACGCACACGTGTGTACCAGCAAGCATTTTTTAAGGCGCGATCGCTTTAATTACCTGAATCACAGCTCGAGGAGACTGAGAGAAGTACCACAGAGGAACACCAAAAAGGCTTATCACTGCTGTTTGTGTGTTATAGGTCTCTGAGCACCGGGTACTCAGAACACTGCCACCTTGAAGAGACAAGGGAGGGGTTAATTCACACACAACACACCACCAGTAACCATAGAATCATAGAATGTTAAGAGTTGGAAGGGACCTTGCAGGTCATCTAGTCCAACCCCCTGAACTCTGCAGGAGCATAGCCAGCCCTACAACATACCATTCAGGTGATTCAGACTGTGCACAGCTGTTTAGCCCAGTGTTTAAAGAGCCCTGCTACTGAACCCAACCCCTGGGTCCCATCTGCCTTTCCCAGGATCTTACAGGCAAGACAGCCAGGCCGTCCTCTTGCTGCCTCCTTCCCCAAATCCCATCCCAAAATCTCCAGGTATTTCTCAACCCAGGGCTGGCAACCCTAATCGTGTGGGTAGCGTTTGTTAAAGGAGCACATGCGTGGAATGGCTTTACACCGTCAGACAGCTGAGTCCTCCAGTCTGCGACTGTGGTCCTCTGACTGGCAGCCGCTCTCGAAGGCGTGGAGCGGTGATCTTGTCCAGACCTGCTTCCTTTAATTGGGGAGAATACCAGGGACTGAACCCGTGACCTTTTGCATACCAAAGCCGGGGATCTCCCACGTGAACCAGGGACCTTGCCATCTTTTGGGTGGCAGTTTAGTGCAACTATCCCTTTCCCCTCTGTGGCTCCCAAGTTTGGCTGCCCCCCGTCTCTTATTTCTCCCAGTCTCACGCTAAGCATTACTACCCGAGATCAAGGTATTAACAGCTATCTAAAGCAGACTTTAAAAGACTGCATTTGTTAAGTTTTTACACGTATTGCTTAGAGCCTCTGAGAAGGGGGGGGGGGTTGCAGGCTAAAAAGTTCTCCCCCCCCCATGTTCTTACCGCCAGACTCCAGCGCAAAGTCTGCCATGCCCGTCTTGTCTTCCGAATAAAGCTGCAGCGCGTTGCTCACAATAGTATGTGCTTGCTGCAAACAGGCAGAGGGAAAGAAACAAAGAGCAGAAGTCAGGAGAATCTTTTGTTGCTCTTTTTCAAGCGTTCTGAGACGTCAACGCGAGTCACGCACCACTGTCTAAGATGGCCTGGTCTCCCCTGCAGAACTGCCTCCAACAAATCTTCTGCCCCCAAACTGCTTAAGCACACAGCAACAGTTTGAGGCTTCAGAACTGGAGGAAGTGCCTACTCATGAAAGCGGAGTTCCAAAAATTAACCCCTCCCAAGTGCCACTAGCAAAAAACCGTCAATACTTTTCACGTACTTCCTCTGTGATGCCTGACACTCCGGCCTGGCTCGCGATGCTCGTCACCAGTTCTGGAGATGGCCTGGTGTTCGTCTCGGTCATGTGGCAAGTGAGTTTCCTGATGAGTCTCTGCTCCAAATCGCGCAGCAAAACCTGCACGGTGCTCTTGCTGGCGAATTGGGATGTCAGCCACTGAAGCAGCAAAACAAAACATCATATGCTAAGATATATTATGAGTGCCAGTAACACATTTACTTCAGTGGAATAAATCCTTGCATTTAGTAGCAATGCAGAGTCCGAGGCACATTCACTGACCTGACAGCGGATGCGCAAAGAGGATTACCGAGTTTCTAGCTGCTCTCTGGAATTCAGAAGGCGGCAGCACTTCACCGATTTTTGAACTCATTTAAACAATGCAATGGCTGGACTTCCAGTTTTCTTTATGAGGAAGTGCTCTTCTCATTTGGTTAAATGTTTTATACTCTCATGACCTAGGTAGAGCTTTAGAGCCTTTGGAGCTTAGTTTTTATCCAAGGCCAGGTTCCAAATAAATTTGCTTGCTTCATGAAATGGGGTGGGTGGGTGGGTGGGGGTTGGTTTTATTTCCTCTTCCCCCTGAAATGCAGCCCTTCCCCATGCCTAAACTTGCGGGGAAGAATCAAAAGCAATGTATGTTTAAAGGTGAAGAGAAGTCAAGTCTGAGGGCTTGAGTGGTGTTGTGGTTAAAGACTGACACTAGGATCTGGGACAACCGGGTTCAAATCTCTTGCTCAACTACGGAAGCCTGCCAGGTGACCTTGAGCCCGTCACAATCTCTCAGCCTAATTTACCTGAACAGATTCCTGAGCAACAGAAATTTGGACCTGCCAAACAAGCTGACGGCCTTCAGTCTCACGTGCGGGCACCGTTCAGTTCCTCACAGGAGCTTGAATTCTCTCTTTCTCTCTGTATAACAGGGGGCAGGACTCCAACTGGGAAAAATCCCTCCTTGAACTTCTCTAAGGTGGCTGTTAACTATAATCCAGCCCTTGCCAAAGGGCAATTAACTGAACATATGGTTATGGGGTAAGAAGGTAATTTATAGCAACCTTTCCTCTGGACATATGGAGCTCCACATTAAGACTCTTATGATTGGGAATGACACTTGGGGTTTGTAATCTTATTTCCACCTGGGTCTCTTCCTTCTTTGCCCATTGATTATCCAGATGGAAACCTGATTATGCAAAATCTACTTCACTTTAGTATCCAATGTGTTAGAAGAATGTTTCAACTTAGTCTGGCTTTCGGGATGTATTGATTTAGTTTTTTAAAAAGAAGTTGGAAAAGCATTTCTGGCTTTTCAAACTTACAAACTACAATGCTGAACATATACAGGATGGTGACATTAAATCTATCCAGTTCAGAGTACACTCCCAGCACTGTTCCGTGGGACTGGTTAGGTTGCACCCGAGGTCACCTGGTGAAATTCCTAGCCAAGAAGGGATTTGAACCTCAGCTTCCCATTCACAAATGCGGCTCCGCAGGCATTATGCCGTGGTTGCTCCCTTTCTACCAAAGGGAGTGATTATTTAAAAAAAAAAAAAAGCAAAACCCTCAGCCTTTCCAATGCCCCAAAATGTCTTCTCTGCTAAGAAACCCGTCAGTACCATCCAGAGAACACGTGCACTTTGTAGAAGATTCCCAAGGTGTGTTCTGTGGGGTGGCAACAGAGCACTGGCCAGGCTTTGGGAGCTTAACATCATGCCCCATAAACTGTGCATGCTCTACAGTACGCCAAACATGATCCAAGAAACGTGCATTAAAGAGGAAGATGGGCAGTGGTACGAAAGCCATCTTACTCATCTCTCCCTGAGGAATCCCCTGGGAGACCCAGGGGTTTCCTGGAACACTGAAAAACTCCAAGTGGAAGGCGGGTTTCCCTTCTTGTCTCCATGTAGCACATTTGTCTAGAATTTCTCTCAGGTTCATTTCAAATTAAGTACACCAAGGACTCCAGCGGCACTTACATCAGATTTCTCACTGAGCTTGCCCAGAAGATCTTCTAACGCAATGATGCGCCGCTCATGGTCCTCACGCATGCTCGAAAAGTCAGGCTTTAAAAACAGGACAAGAAGTTAAATTTCATTTTATTTAATTTTGTGCAAACCCCTAGACCTCTCCTGTATTTAAATACTGATTAAAATACACCCCCCCAAATCCTCCCCCCCGCCCCGCTGAAGCCATTCTTGACCAGATGATCTTCTTTTTTTGGTACAACCCCAACAAAATCCATCCATGGCCAGTAGTGGCTGGAACCAAGAGCTGCTCAAGAAAAAGGCCCAGAGCTTGCCGGTGCTCCTGTGGGTTTTGCCTTTTGTCTCTGAACACCCCAGCCAGGCGTCACACGAGTGGGTGGGCTGGCTGCTTTTCGGGAGACATCTGAAGCAGCCCTGGGTGCACAGAAGGAGACTGATCGCTCCTCCTCATCACTGGAATTTGGGCTGGGCTGCTACACGCAGTTTCTTTATTTAGAAGTGCAGTTGCACAGTGCTATCTCCCATTTACATTAATGCATTAGGTCTAGTGGACCGATAATGGAGTGTTTCCATCGTGAATAACTAAAACATCATTTGCCAAGACTATCAGCCCTCCCACTGCAAGCGGAAAGTGCTTTTACTCCACCCACACAAATTTCCCTTTCCTAACCAGACTCCCACAACAATGCGAAGTATGCCAAGGATATGATTACGTCGAACTCCCCAGAGACAAACAATGGTTCCAAACAACATTCACCATTGATTTTGATGCTGTCAGGTGCTGGTCTACCGTGTTCTTGAGTACTGTCAACATCTCGCTTTTGTCGTTCAGCTGGGAAATCTGACCCTGAAACACCTGAAGCTGGAGAAGGATTTGACTGTATTCCTTGTCTAGACGATGCCACTTGTCAGACAGGAAGGACACTTGCTTTTCCAGCTCACTCACGCGACTCGAGTCAAAGGATTTCGTGGGTTCCTAACACAGTGGGGGAAAGCGGAAAATGCCAAAATTCCTATGCGGCCCTTTGCCAGAAAATCCCTTGGAGCCCTCGGTGCTCTTGGTTAAACAGGGAAAGACTGTGCAGAAGTTCTCCCCACTAACACAGGACCCAGCAACTTCCAAGAGGTCCTATTTAGATAAAAGCAAGCTGAAGAAGCATTTTGGGAAACGTTTTGGTGTTGTGAAAGGATGTGGAGCTGCAGTTTGCGGTCTTCGCATGTGATGGTGCACACTCCGACTCATCGGATTTTTTTCCTGCATAAGCTTTGGGCCACCCTAAGTGCTCACTGGACCCCTTGGCCGTCTTTACAGGATGTGCCCCCACCTTTCCCACCACATGCAGCACAGTGTCACCGCCCACCACTGAATGCTACAAACGGCACAGAGATACAAACATTTAAAAAAGAGATTTCCTTTAAGAACTCCTCAAGCGGCAAGTCCAGAATAAAGCACAGAGACCAAGACCATGTGTGTCCAATACAGACGTGGTTTATTTTGAGTCAGTCCTCTGCAAATAATCTAGATGTGGTATGTGTTTTACTTCCACCCTCAAGTTACTCCTGGTCACATCTTCTTTCAAACTTTGAGGGGCACAAAACTGTACCATTTTGTTATTAAAGCCAGTTGAGAGCCAGTTTGGTGTAGTGGTTAAGTGCACGGACTCTAATCTGGGAGAACCGGGATTGATTCCCCACTCCTCCATTTGCAGCTGCTGTATGACCTTGGGCAAGCAATAGTTCTGTCAGAGCTGTCCTTGAAAAAGAGCAGTTTCTGTGAGCTCTCTCAGCCCTACCTACCTCACAGGGTGTCTGTTGTGGGGAGGGGAAGGGAAAGGAGTTTGTAAGCTGCTCTGAGACTCCTTTGGGTAGTGAAGGGCGGGGTATAAATCCAATCTCTTCTCTCTTAAGCTGTAATGTTCACATAATTTAGAGCTAATTGGCATCTGCTTTGGGCACCAAAAACCAAAACTGTCAAGAACAGCCAGTGGTTAGGGAAGGGCTGCCAACCTCCAGGTGGGGGCTGGAGATCTGCTATTACAGCTGATCTTCAGGAGACAGAGGTCAGTTGACCTGGAGAAAATGGCCACTTTGGAAGGTGAACTTTATGGCATGATGGCCCACTGAAGTCCCTCCCTTCCCCCAAACCCCGCCCTCCTCAGGCTCCACCCCCAAAATCTCCAGGTTTTTCTCATCCCGGAGCTGTCAACCCTAGGTGGGGTCCATATTTTGTGCACCGATTTAGGCAGACCATTAACAGCCTGCACACAAACTTTGGAATTTAGACAGCTAATTAATAGTGAAAAGCAGCATTCATCTTGGTTTATTTCACTCATTTAAAACATTTTGATGCTGCAGTTCCACCCAGTCAGGGTCCCCAAGGCAGCACACACACACACATATTTGGATAATTAAAAACACCATTTAAAATTATAAAATAATTTGATAAAACGCATAAACAAACAACGGCAGGACCAGGGAGGAGGGCCAAGAACCGTTATCGGGGGCATGCCGAACGAAACAAAAAATGTCTTCACCCAGTGGTGGAAGACACTGACAGAGGGAGACAGAAATATCTTCCTGAGAAGGGAGTTCCAAAATTTTGGTGCCATGATGACTGAGAAAGCCCTTTCTCGGGTTGCCTCCTGTTTATGAAGTCCCTTTGTAAAGCCCTCTTGTCTTACTGATGGCAATAAAGAGAGGCAGGAGGATACAAGACCTAGAAGGGCCGCCAAGGAAGAGCTGGAGCTGCCACTTCGAAGGAGATGGACCCTGTGGGGCCCCGTGCCTTGGCTTCCCCGTCCGGGCCAAAGACACGCAGAAAAAATAGCTTACGTCGGCAGTCTGAAACGTGTGAGGCAAATCCAGCAGAGGTTCCAAGATCGGCGCAGAGTCGTCCCACTGGTATGCTTTCTGCACCATCGACCAATTGAGCGCTGGCAGCAGCGAAAGGAAACCTTCAGAGCCCCAAAACCATAAACCTGAAGCAAGAATATTGAAAAAGAAAAACCGGGGGTGCGGGGGGGCGCACTGTCCTTGCTTATTGATTTTTTTAAAAAAGTAAATAAAAAGCACTTGCTCATAATAAGTCGCACCTCCAGTCCGAGACAGTAACCAGAGGGCATCCTTACGCCGCAAATTAACAGTACTCTGCCTCTGCAAAGCATTTGGTCGCCCCTCTGAAACAGAAGCTACTTGCTCCTTTCTTTGGATATGGTTTACCACAACTCCTTTCCCAGCTGCACAGTGGCCCCTGTCTGGGTACATACACTTTTTAGTTCAGTTCAGTTCAGCTGACCTTTATTGGCATAAAATACCTTAAAAAGGATTACTATAAGAAGAAATATACATTTAAAACCATGTATAGCCAGACATATCAAACATAAGGTAGCGTAAAACAATTACTCGTTGGACGTTTTCCTGACGTACCTTTATCACTGATTGTACAAACATGGCTACGTTCATTGATATTTTCCGGAACAGAGTCATTTAAAAGATGGTGCACTTTTAAAGCATCAGGAAGGTTTGTCATGTTGGCTAAGATAGGATTTAAATATCTAGCATGTAAAGCCACATAAAATTAGCTGTTGTAGATTTTCTGGGTTGTATGGCCATGGCCACCACATTGTCCTACAATGCCAAGACCATGGCCATACAACCCGGAAAATCTACAACAGCTAATGAATTCCAGCCGTGAAAGCCTTTGACCACATAAAATTGCCAATGCAAACAGATATGCGAAACAGTTTCAATACATCCAGAATTGCAATGGCAAAGTCTATCTGCATATACTATATCTACCATGCAAGATGGTATTACATTGAATCTTGCTAGAAAGAAGGCTTTACGCTGTTGCAGTGCTTGTATACCAGATAGATATGGGGCCATTCAGCCTACCGTAAGGAGCATCTCAAAGTTCGGGGTGGAACAAGATTTATTGGCTAAGCTGTAAAGCCCTTTGTGTTTCAATATCAAGGACTCGATGCTTAATCATCTGAAAAGCGCCTATAAATGGGAGCATAAACAATGAGCCCAGTGGGATACCCATGGCAGTTATTTTATTCTCAATGTATGATAGCCATTTAGACACATTTGACTCTGTGAGCATTTGTTGTAGACACAGCCAATATTTTACTGTCGTAAGCCATGCACCAGATTCCTCAGAATTTAACCCAGTTTCTAAACATAGAGCTGCATAAGCTACACAGCACGGCATTCCCATGATCTTTCAGAGAAATTTAGACTGAACACATTTGATGGTGCCATTAAGTGCACTTATCCATATTGGAATACCATACATGAGTTGTGGAATTACTTTGGCTTTAGAGACTTTTAATGCCGCTGGTATGAATTGGTTGCCTCTGGTGTAGAAAAATCGATGGCAGAAGCATTTATGTTGGCCATATTTTTTGCTGAATTTCGTTGCACAGACCAAGATGCATTATACTGGAAGTGCAAAGCTAAGTATCTAAAATTTCTGATTTGTTCAATTGGTTTGCCTCTAATTGTCTATTTGAATAATTTCCAAGATTTGAAAAAGACAAGTATTTTTGATTTTTCATGATCCAGAAGTAATTTGTTTGTTATAAAATATGATTCTCAATGTATGATAGCCATTTAGACACATTTGACTCTGTGAGCATTTGTTGTAGACACAGCCAATATTTTACTGTCGTAAGCCATGCACCAGATTCCTCAGAATTTAACCCAGTTTCTAAACATAGAGCTGCATAAGCTACACAGCACGGCATTCCCATGATCTTTCAGAGAAATTTAGACTGAACACATTTGATGGTGCCATTAAGTGCACTTATCCATATTGGAATACCATACATGAGTTGTGGAATTACTTTGGCTTTAGAGACTTTTAATGCCGCTGGTATGAATTGGTTGCCTCTGGTGTAGAAAAATCGGGAAATGGCGGAGGCATTGACATTAGTCTTATTTATTACTGAATTTCGTTGCACAGACCAAGATGCATTATACTGGAAGTGCAAAGCTAAGTATCTAAAATTTCTGATTTGTTCAATTGGTTTGCCTCTAATTGTCTATTTGAATAATTTCCAAGATTTGAAAAAGACAAGTATTTTTGATTTTTCATGATCCAGAAGTAATTTGTTTGTTATAAAATATGAAAGGCATCTCTTTAGTAAACACTTTAAATCAACTTTGGAGCAGGACAGTAGTACCATGTCCTGCATATAATAGTAGAGGGTCATGGACAGAACCCAATTTAGGAGCATGGCCATCAACAGCTTCAAGGTAAGGGGAGAGATCACTGACTCCTTTACTGAACGAGATTTTTGAAGTTAATATACTTTTTAAAAGATTGCACATGCTCAAGACCGTTATCACCCTCTGTCCCCATTCCCACTGGCAGCGGACGCATGCCACGATTCTTGGGCACAAGATATAGGCTAGATTAAGCTAAATACATTTGGATATGCTTCAGAACATTTACTCTGGTTGTAGCATTTTAGGAATCTCTGGACTAATTTTTTGAGGTTGTGGGTATATTTTAATACCACCCTATGTAACTTTTTTTTTTTTGAGCTGCGGTGGCTCAAGTGGTTAAGACGCTGAACTGCAGGCTGTGGAAGGTCGGTAGTTTAGCAGTTCGAGACCCAGGTTGCCGCATGACGGAGTGAGCTCCCGTCTCTAGTTCCAGCTCCTGCCAACCTAGCAGTTTGAAATCAAGAAATTGCAAGTAGATAAATAGGTACTACTTCAGTGGGAAGGTAACAGCGTTCCGTGTGCCTTGGTGTTTAGTCATGCCGGCCACATGACCATGGAAATGTCTTAGGACAGCGCTGGCTCTTTGGCTTTGAAACGGAGATGAGCACTGCAACCCTAGAGTTGGACTCGACTGGCTTTCAAGCAAGGGAACCTTTCCCTTTACCCATGTAACTTTTTACCCGCCATGGAGAAGACAGCCTACTATCCATACTATGAATGACTCCTACAGCCAATGTTCACTGCTATATAAGAACATCTCTGCAGTGCAGGGAATTCTAATGAGATTGTAGACATCTGCAGAAGCCCCTCAAAGACCCCATTGTCAGAGCCGCTTAAACACAGGCCTGATTCTAACAGGACATGAGATGTAAAACTCTCAAATCAGACTTTGGTTCATTTCTGTCTATTTGCAGTGGATATCGATTTTTCTCTGTTTGCGTTTGGCCACTGAGGGATTGCAATGTCAAAGTACAATTTTTGGTCAAGAGTAAATATTCTGTCTGTTGACTGTCTATTGACAGGGGAGATGGGAGGGGTGTGTAATGAGTAAGTTGGCATAGTGGAGCAGACTCACTTTTATTTAATCATTAATCAATCTCATTTAGCACTGAACATTCATTCTCATCTAATTATAAGATGTCCATTAGTTGTTTTATGACAAGCTAAGCTTAGACACAGGATATATATTCACTGTACACATAGAATGGAGATATAGGGACTTCCCAGGATGAGCTTTTCTAGAGATAGCTGAATTGCCGGGAAATTAGATGAGTATGATCAATTGAGGTTACACATAAAGGCACATGTTTAAGATCACAGTAACCTGGATAAATGGGGACAAGATAGAGGGGACTTTTGGGAATTCTGTCAATGATCATCTAGAACAAATATGAATGACGGGAAAACTATATTTGAAAGTAAATAGAATGTTTGGACAATTAGGACGACCTGACACAAAGGGGAGGATACTGTCACATGGGAAGGCCTTAGTTATTAATTGATTGATCGAAAACACCCCTGATGTCAGATATTTCTGATTGGTTGAGAAGAGGGAGTAGCAGTTACTAATTGATCGAGAACACCCCTGATGTCAGATATTTCTGATTGGTTGAGAAGGGGGTGGAGAAGGAATGGAAACAGGATAAAGGTGCATAGCTGGTAGTCTTCAGTCAGTCTTCATCCAGAGAGAACCATCCAGAGGGACACAGGGAGACAGGAACAGCTCCATCTGAAGCTAACACCAGGGGTAAGAAACTATGCCTTTACTTTTAGAACCAGATTGTAATAGGCAAAGACTAACTGTTAATTGAACTGTAATATGCTGAGATTATCAAACTGCAGGGGACTATTGATTAAAGCCTAAACTGTTTAAAACTGTTGATTGATGCCATGTTTAAAATAAAACTCTTTAATTATAGAGATTGTGTCTGACTCTTCCTTGTGTTGAAAGACAAAATCCGTTATACATGCAGGGAGATAGGAAAAGATCCCCCTACAGCAAAGCGAGTGGTGTTTGGGCTAACAGAGAGAGAGAGAGAGAAGCCCAACAAGATGCAACAAGAGCATTTTACAATAAAAGTGAAGCAGTTTGTCATAATAATGGCTAAAATATCCCAGTTACAATCAGATGGCTCTCTATGAACGAGTTTCAAGATCGCAGGAAGAATTTCCGTCTTAATTCCTGGGCCGCAGAAGTGAACAGGGAAGCTATACGAGCTTGTCATGATCTGAACTGATCAAAATAGTTCTGTCCCCCAGACTGGAGGAGGTATCACTAAGGACACTTCCTATAACTCAGATATGACAAATGATGTCAAACATAATAAGCCACATCTTTTTTTTGGGGGGGGGGGGCTGCTGTTTCCAAATACACAAACTTCAGAGGCCATCTGGCACATCTGCCATCCAAATACATTGAAGGTCATGGATTTAGCTTGTAGAGAGGCGGAAGCCTTAGATAAACTGCAGAATGTTAGATCATGCAGATTTAGATCAAGGGCACAGCTGACCGACAGTCAAGGAGAAATTTGCAGCACAGACGCACAATCGGTATAAAAGTGACCGTCAGCCTTTCATGCACTGTCAGCAGCCTCACTGGCTCCCTTCCCACCACATTTTCCTGGAGGCTGTAAACACAGGCAGTAATGGAGGCCCCTCCCCCCCAACCTGGCTGGGGAAGTCATGAATTACAAGGGCTGGTTTTCACCTCCACCGGAGAGCTTCTCGGACTCAGGTTGCACATACATTTCCTCTTACCTAGCAACAGCAACAGAGGAAGGAGGTACAAGAACATCTTGAACAACGTTGGAAGGCATCTGGAAAATAAAACGCAAGAACTTCATTTAAAAACAAAAAACACATTTACTCACGAGAAGCAGATGCTTAAACCTGCAACCTGTTTTGGCCAACTGCGAAATCCAGTCGGCTCCGGAGCTCAGTTACAGCCACAATCCACCTCCCAATTTCATTCATGCTTCCCGTGTATCTGCTATCGAGCTTGGCACACCATTATCACAGTGTTGTCTGCAGCTGGCTCATTTGGATTCCACTCTATCCAGCGGGAGCAGATCACTTTCAACACCAAGGGCTCTAAATGGTGACCTGTCATCAATCAGCCAATCTACAAACCCGCTTTTAGGGCTTGGGATCAAATACTGTTAGAAAGCGTTTACAAACCTGGTCAGAATAAATACATTCAGCAAAGAGATCAGGGTCACGAGCTGGTACCACCCGGTCCCAAGCCACCAGAACACTCCGGAGGCGGCCTTCCCTGGGGAAAGAAAGGACATGCTTGAACAAACTGAGGACTTTAACAGAATTGCTTAGGACAGTCGTTTTCAAACTTTCAACCCTAAGGGGAACTTTTCCATCTCCATGTCCCTGTCCAGGAACCTCGCTGCAGCTCAGACGATTCCTGGGGTCATCCTGGAATACCCACACAGGTAACTGGCCGTGTCTGCTGGACCTCATTTTCACCCACGTGAAGCCAAAATGCGCTCTAGGTCACAGCTAAGACTTGTCCTGTATCTGGAGGGATCAATCCATAATGGTGGCCAAGTTTTTGAAGAATTTGCCATTCCCAAATCTTTTTACTGAGGGAAAAGACAAGCTTCCCTGGGAACAAAGTTTGAAAACCACTGGCTTATGGGGCAGACTGAGCAGAGAGCAATGCCGTAGGACACACGCTCATGAACGGATGCTGGCGAATGGCAACAGACATGCAGCTTCAAAACTAAACAAAACCAAAAAAAGCTGGTAAGACCTCTGCATTATCTGTTCTGTATTAGTGACCTGGCTTGGCATGCAAATAAATAAATATACAAATTAAACTCATGCAGCAAGGAGTTTAGTAAAACAGCAGCGCAGGATTTGACAATGGCACAAGAATCGCGCACTCTGGAGTGGCATATGTAAAATATTACTCATTGCATTGATGGAAACCCTAGCAAAGAGAGACAGAGAGAGAAACAAAGTAAGACGCCCAAAGCTTACATGGAATTACAGGGAGTGAGTCCTCCCCATCTCCGAGAGCAGTCCCCTCGCTTTCGCCACTAGCCAATCCTGCCCCTCAAACACCGGAAGCAGCCTAGTTATATAATGTACGCGGTGTTATTAGAGATTCTAACACAGAGACATATCTCCACAAGATTTTAAGCATTAAGCAAACAAGGAGGAGGAGGAAGCACAAATTAATGAACACGGGGGGGGGGGATCTGAACGTTGCTCCAAATGAAAACGCATTTCCACCACGGCAAGCACTTCCAAGCCATTGTGAAAGTGGCACACCCGGTTTTCACGCCTTTTGTTTTCTTTCTGTGGATGTGGCCGGGCATTTGGGACCCGGCTGGGTCAGACAATCAAGATTAACGGGTAAGAAGAGACGGGGAAACAGACTGGCGGGATTAGCCAGCCACAGGAGAATTGGGGAGGAAGCCGGCTGTGCCCTTTCTGTTCCAACTGAGGAACGGTAACAGGAAGGCCCAGGGAGTAGCCGGAGGAAAGTGGCAGGCAGAGGATTACTCCTAACCACCTGATTCCCTTGACAGGAGTGTTCGGCCCAGAGCTGGTGCAGTTGAATTGGGGAACTGGGAATGGAGTTGGCTGGGTGATCTTGGTCCAATAGCCTGCCCTACCCTCTCACAACAGTGGTTAGCTTCAAAGGTGGAAGGGGACTCATGCGGGCCACCCAGAGCTCCATGGAAGGAAGGCAGGATATATATCTTTTCTATTGTTGGCTTGACAGCCTGCCGTCTCCTTCCCTCTCCTGTCCTGATCGGCTACCCTGAAGACCGGAGCCTCACCAGTGCTTAACAGGAAGTGCTTTCTGTGCAGGAAACGCATGGCACCTGAAGCAGCCCCTAAGAGCCACCCATCTGTATTCCTCCAGGGATCCCTGCGACTGTAGATGCCAATCTGCCCTCAGAAGCAAGACAAGGCATGCAGAAAAACCCAAAGCATCAGGCAGACACAAAGTCAATAGTAACCTGGAGACACAACAGCCAACCACAGGAGGGACAGAACCTTCTTGGAGGCAAGCCATCCTGCCGTCCCCGTTCTCTGCAATGTGTGCAGCAAAAAGTAACCTGGGGTGATACAGACGAAGACGGACATCGAACACAGGAACCAGGGCTGGCAGTCAAAGCCAGCAAGATACATTTCTTTAAAGTGTTCACACACACACACACACACACACACACACACACACACACACGACTTATTGGCATCATACGAAACAGAAAAAAGAGGAGGAAATATTACAGAGAAAGGACTTCATAACTTAACAGGGCTCAGCGTCAGGAGAGATCTGTTAACATGGTTTTTTAAACAATGGTTTGGAGAGAACACGCCAAATGCTAGAAGAACCCTACCGCTAACCAGCGTTTCATCTCCCAGTCATTAGCCCTTTACAATTCCCTGATTTTCCATTAAGGGCAACCTTGAGTCTGTCTCTCAGGACCTCGTCGATAATGAAGAATTTAAAGAAAGGTTTTAAGGCCCGCCTCAAGGCAACAGAGATGTGGAGACGGCAGGAGAGGAAAGAGCTCTAAAGCTCAGGGGGCTAATCAGGCTTTAGTTCACTTACGGGGGGGGGGCACCTTCAGCCCCACCCGTGTCCTGCCCTCCCTCCCAAAGCAGCACTTCGGGTGGTGGGATCTCCACAAAACTCTTGCTAGTCCCCAGAATATACTATGCCGGGAATATGCCGGGAGAGTGGCCTGGGCATGTGTAAGAGATGGACTGGCTCCTGCTCACACCAAGTTCAGAACCAATCCAGAAAACAGAGCATCAAAGCCAGGGTATATTTGCTTCAAAAAGTGGGTTTTTCTAGCACCCTGCCACCAAGTGTATACATGGCAGAGAGCTGCAGACACCACCTCAGCTCTCTAATGAACATCCTGGCATTATGCAAATTTTTAAACCCACAAAGCATGACCGTCACATGCCTTACATCCGGAGGGGTGTACCTCAGAAGATAACCACCAGATACGCTGGGGGTGTAAAGTGCTGTCAAGTTGTGGCTGCTTTAATGTGACTCCGTGGGGTTTTCAAGGCAAGAGGTGCACAGAGGCGGTTTGCCATTGCCTGCCTCTGCATAGCACCCTGGACTTCCTTGGCGATCACCTATCCAAGTACCGACCAGGGCCAAGTACCGACCAGCTATTCTGAACCACCCAGGTCAGGGCAGAAATATGCCATGGCTCTCTGTTTTCCTAATTAGAAAAAACATGGGAAAAAGAGATGCCACGGACCCAGACAGCCTGTAAAGCAAGAGCCTGTGTCTGAATTCACGGTGTTTCATCTGTCTGCTGTTAGCACACCTAACAAAAGCCTTCATTTCCCTTTACTGCAGGAAACAGAAGAACATAACAGCTTCAACATCCTTACAGCCCAGCCCCTTTCCAAAGCGGTCCCACCATTTGTATCACCAGAGAGCCCTCTTAAGCCATGTTTCTAATGGCTTGGGAGAGCGTCGCCTGGCAACTGATCTGCATCTTCTTCATTTCCACTGCATCTCCATTTAAGTTCCCTGCAGACAAAGAATCATCTGGCCTCTTTCAGAAAACATTAGTTATGAGAACGACTGGATTCGTTTCAGTTAAAAAGGAGGAGCAGATGAAGATCTATTGTTGCTAAGGCAGATGTGTGTTTTACCAAAAGGACTTTCCCGGAAGACTCAGTTATGTGAATGCCGCTTAGCATCGTCACAAGCTACTATGATCTGCCTTCCTAATGTGCATTATGCACAAATGAAGGTGCCTCACACCAAATCACCAAACCAGATAGTACTGTCAAGGTCAGTACTATCGACTCAGACTGGCTGCCGCTCTCTAGGGTTTCAGGCAGAAGTCTTTCATATCACCTGCTCCCTGATGCTTTTAAACTGGAGATGCCAGGGATTAAACCTGGGACCTTCTACATGCAAAGCAGAGGCTCTTCCATTGAGCTCCTCCCCTCAAGGACCCTCGTGCGCCATATGCAGAAGGGGGGATCGCATGCCCCCAAACCTCCCAAAGGAGAGAGGGGAGGTCAGGCTCAGAATCGTAGCCAGAGGTGCTACTCCTAAGATGATTTCGGCCTAATCTGCTTTGCGAGGAAGCTTTAAAAACAACAGAAACGACAGCACGAGTGATTAGCGACGGAGGGATTTGTGAAGGAAAAGAGAGAAATCAAAACGCAAAAAAAAGAGGACATGTCAACCTGCGTACGAAAAGATGTGCCCAATGGTCCTTGCGACCCCTTTAGACTGTGAGGAGGGCAGGTAGGCTGCTGTGTGCACCTCAAGCTGTTTCTTCCCCTTACAGTCATCACCTGTTGGTTACGGTAACAATCAATTAATACAAGGCAATTCATCACGACAGATCCGCAACACAGGCAGAGGCGCGCTCTGGGTGCATCACAGAGAAGGAGGGCCCAAGACTGACTTCAGAAGGGTGACAGCCAAGCACATTTGGGGACAGGGGAGGTACCAATAAGCTAAATGTTTGGAAGAAGCACCCCAGTGGGGCACCCCAGATACAGCCACCCCACTACAGGGGAAAGGGCATCACCACTTGTCAACCAAGCCAGGGAGCCCTCAGCAACTCGGTGGGGTGGTGGGGTGAGGCAAGCCCGGACTCCGTGCCGGACTATACCACAACCAGGACATGCTGTGGCCTCCACTTACCTGTGCTTTAGGTGATAAGCCGCAAACCTCTGCATACTTACTCATACGTATCTTATTTATTAATGAGACTTTTATACCACCCTCCCCGCAAGCGGGCTCAGGGCGGGTCACAACACAACTATAAAAACATATAAATCAAAATACATTGTCTAAAATACAGATCTAAATTAACTTACCCCCCGACAAGGAGCCATACTACAGTTCTAGGCCCCCCCCCCCAAAAAAAAATTTGTAGTTAAAAATTAACAGATACCAATGGGAGGAGGGGAGTGGAAGCACTTTGCAAGTAAGACAGTTGTTAATACTAGCCATTAAAACCATTAAAATTCGTTGCTGTCCTCAACCGTATGCTTGGTGGAAGATCTCAGCCTTGCAATAGATCCCGCCGGGCCCGGATGTTAGTAGGCAGAGACTTCCACCAAGTCGGAGCTCGGGCCACTTTCTGGAAACAGGGCTAGGGGTACAACATGCACAGACTAATTTACTTGAATTCACAAAGGGAATCTCTACGGCAAGATTCAGGATGGGGTTTACGAAGCACTTGTGACCACCTAAAAGTGGGATGCATGCGCACGCCAATGTGAGATGCCTTCTCCAACCTCTGCAAAACCACAGACCATAATGGCAACATCCAGAAGTCTAAACACATCAGTGAAACCCCCCACCCCCCCGCAACAACAACCAAAGACCAGCAAGCCACACTTACAGAAGTATTCCCCGTTCGTGCCCAGCTGGTGGTCTTCCCTGAGAATTTCTTTTACATTCGTGCTTCCATAGTAATTGGAATAAGCTGTAACAAGGGAAGGGGGGGGGAGATTTTCACCAGATGAAGAACAGGAAACCATCCCAGAGAGCTGTTGTCGGGATGCAGGTGACCCAGAGCAACTTTTTAAAACTGATTTGCACAGAAGATCAACCAAACACAGAAACGTTGCTTTTAGAAAACAAAATGAAACAGAACCAGCTTGTTATCCAAAGCAC